TACATATATATATGTATATATATTGGTTTTGCTGGATCTTTGCTGTGCGGGTTTTTCTCAGAAAGGACTGCTCTAGTTATGGTGGAGGATGATGACTAACATCGTAACTGATTCGTGAAATTAAGCAGCTGGAACTCTTCTTGGTTGAAAGATACCTGACTTTCTCAACCTCACCTTGGGAACAGGAGCCACAGTTAAGGGTTCCTGTGGTGAGGGGCTTTCTGGTGATGGGAAATACTGTAGGTCCCAGCTTCTCTAGAGTGGGACAGGGGACCTGTGGAAGTGCTCTGACCTGATTTCTCCATCTGGGAGGGGCTGGGGGCAAGGCTGGTGACAAAAAGGTGGGCAGTTTTTAGGGTTTTCTCCTGGATGGTTAACTTTCAGGAAGACAGGAGGTCTGGGAAGAGGAAGGCAGCCTTGCTGGGGAAAATGCAGGCCTGCTGAGGCGTCCGTGATTGAGGCTCCCTCAGCTAGATGCCCAGGAGGTGAAATACAGCTTCAGGAGACCAGGAGGGGCCCTTGCTTTCTTAGCCCGCCTCCTCCCTGCCTCTCCCTTGACACTGGCAGGGTGCCTGCCTAGGGTGGATTCAACATCTCTCCTAATGTGGTTTAAAAGCAATTCAAGAGATGGTATTCCCAGCTCCCTGCACTTTGTCCAGGAGGCTGGACAGACCTGTCCTTGCACAGGAGTGAATGAAGAGGATCTTTGGTTTGAGGCTTACTGGCAATTCATTAAATGGGAAGGGAGAGGAGGAATGTGGGACACATCTTTCCAGCCTTCCGTGCGCCACCTGTCCTCTTCAGGCCACCTCCTTAAGAGGTCTTGTGCTGGGAGCCTTCGCTAAGCGCCCACAACTCTCCTGGCTCCTCAAAGGCCCCAGGAAGGGTGAGCCTGCCTGCTGATGCCAGTGTGGCATGGGTACTGGTGTCTGTCCACCTGGAGGAAGCAGGTGTTCAGCCAAGACCAGAGAGGTGGATGCCAGAGAGGAGACGGTCTCACAGCTGCTTTGGGCTTCCGGAGTCAGGTAGTTCCTGCGGGTCGCTGGCGCCACTGGGTCTCCAGCGGGTTCCTCCAGAGATGTCTGGCCCCAAGCAGTGAGGTGAGGGTTCCGGGCTCTTCCAGGATTAGAAAGCTGGCCAGCCTGTCCTTCGCTGAAACTTTTGCGTTCTTAGAGCAGCTTTAAGACTCGCTGCAGCCGAGACTGGCAGCGCTTATTTAAAATTCCAGTCTTGCTCCCGAGGGCTTTGGCCTCCATCTTCACCTTTAACACCCGAGGACTGGGGGTGCGGTTCCTTCCCACTCCGCGACAGGTGTCGCTTCAGAGCGGGAGTTTTGGGCACAGAGAACGCGGTTCCACCTCATCCCCGGGGGGCTGGATGTATTTAAAGCCGACCGGCCAGGAGGGGCGTTTTGGGAGAGGGTACGTGGGCGGTGGGAGCCGGGTGCGATGGAGTGAGGGAGGAGCCAGCCTGCAGATTTTTCTGGAGGAATCAGACCCGATGTCTCCAGAGCGGCCCTTCCCCAAGGGCGGAACGCTTTTTTCTTCGAATGTTGTTTGGAAAGGGGGTTATAGAAGCGTGTTTGGCTCGGTGCGAGGCGACCAGGGGCTGGGCGTGTGTGAGTAGTGAGGAAGCTTGCTGCCCGCTGCTCCGGGGACCCGGCCCCTGCGCCCTTGGGAACCCTTCCCGGGCGAGGGCGGCGGGGACGACGGGGGCAGCGGTCCCCGCCGCGGGTACGCGCGGGCCGGCCCTTCCCTGCCTCCACTGGGCCCGGCCCGCCCGTGTCCCAGCTGCCCGCTTGGCCGTCGGGTCCCCGGGCGCCTCGACGGCTCCCCCTGCCGGAGTGCCGGATCCCCCACCCCGCACCCGGAGGCTCCGGACTAGTCCCCCCAACTTGTTCTCTGCTGTTAACTAGTCGCGCTGCCGGAACGATGGGATGGGGTTGCCACAGCAACCAGACTGGACGTCACAATCCGGGCATGTGTGCTGCCCCCCCGCCGTGCCGCCGTGCCGCCGGCTCTGCCGCCGCCACCTCGGCCGGCTGCGGGACTCGGGCTTCGGGGCGCGGTGGGCGGAGCAGCCCGGGCTTTGCGGGGAGCTGGGCGAAGGCGGTCAGCCCGCGTGCCCTTGAAGGGGGCGGGAATCGCGCTCGGCTGCTGGTGCTGCGCACCCCGCGCTCTCGCCCCGCACCGCGCACCCTTGCCCTCGCGGGGACCGGCGGGGCTGGCGGGACCAGATACCGGGACCCGGCCTATCTCGGCTCCTGGGTGGGGTGGGTGGGGCCCGGAGCCGGCGGAGGACGGGACGGACTAGGGGACCGGGCGAGCGCCCGGGCAGGGGCGACTTCCCTCCGGGCCCACGAAGGCTCCAGGCTGAGGCGCGCGGGCTCGGACTCCGCTCCCGGTTCCCGGCCGCCGAGTGCCGCGACCGCCGCTCCCCAGCACTTTGCCCGGGCCGCCGGCGTCGTCCTGGCGCGCCCTAGCGCCGGCCGGCGTCTCCAGCCCGCGGTCGCCCGCCTTGTGGCGTTCCCAGCCCACCCTGCTTTGGCTCCGGGCCTGACTCCCAGGGCCACCGCCCCTGCCTTTCCATCCCTCTCCCGAATTCAGCTGAAAACAGGGCTTGTGCCTCAGGGGCAACCTTGCAGGATCATTCCTTACTTAACTGCTCACCGTGTGTTTGGGATGTTCCCCTCCCGGCACAGCTGGGCAGGGCCTCACACTGTGGACCGGCTGTCTTCCTTCCCTTCCGGAGGACTTTGTCACATCTCAGCGTCCCCACACCAAGTCACGGCCCCTTCTGGCCTCCCAGGGGACTTGCGGGAACTGCGGGAGCCCTTCCTCGCCCTTGAGTGTGCTGTTTGGCCCCCGGAGCCCCTTTTCCAGGGTCAAGAGTATTCCGCACATTGGCACCTCAACTCCTGCATGCAGGAGGTGAGAAGGAGGAGGACCCAGGTGGCAGTTCTGTCTCTTCCTAGAGGGGATTCCCACCAGGTGGCCACGCCCACTGGGGGGGCCTCCTCACCCCTCCCCACTTGTTTGCTTCCTTTAACATGGTGACTGGGGCCTCATCCTGCTCTTCAGATAGTTTGGCCAAGTTTGCAAAGGGCCTGCTGGGGTGAGGGGATTGGGGGTGAGGTGGCCCCACATGGGCGGAGTTGCTTGGACAATGGTTAACTCTTACATCCTGGGGGCCAGGGAATTAGGCCCATTTCCTGGAAGGGAACAGAGAGGCCCAACACAGGCACTGAAATTCTGGTCTGTTTTCTACCACGGAAGCTGGCTTAGTTTGGAAAGCTGGTTACTGACTTCCTTGGTGCATGGCACTCGGGGCGTGGCCCTTTGTGGCACTGGTTGATGGGGGCAGTGGACAGCTGAGAGTGCATGAACAGGTTTATTTCCAGGACTTTACCAACCCCCTGATGGGGTCCTCTGTCCCCCTGTGCCATACTCTCTGAATCTCTCTGGTTGTGTCAAGGCTCCGAGAGTGGGGAGAGGAGGCGGCCAGGGAAGTGCCCCCAGGCCGATGGGCACCCAGCTCACTCCTTTAGGGCCAGAGGGCTTGGGCCTTGGCCAGAGTCACCTGCCCACCACCTTGTCTCCCTCCTGCTTGCATCCATTGTTCTAGGCAGGTGTGGGGGGTAGGGTTGGCCCCAGGGTCTCTAGGAAGCCCCTCAAAGCCTTGCCAAGCAGAGACTACAGTTTGTCCTTCCACAAGACCAGGTGATTGACCCCAGGGAGACACCTTCAGAGTGTGTCCTGAGCCTTCCTGAGCTCCTAGCCCCTCTCTGTGTACCTGGACCCAGCCACTGTCCCCTCTACCTGGTCCACTGCAAAGCCTCCTAACCAGTCCTCACCGACCACACTCCGCTTGGCAGCCAGGGTCACCTCTGTAAACACAAAGCAGACCCCAGCCCACTGGTGTGAGCTGATTGCAAAACTCCTGTTCTACTCCACCCCCAGTGCCACTTCCCACCTCCTTGCTCATGTATTAGCCTTCTAGATTCTTCTGGAACCCCCCAGGTTCCATCCTGCCCTGAACATTGACTGTGACCTCTGCCAGACCCAATTATTTCCCGGCTCACGACTGCCTCCTTCCTGCTACTCAGGTCTCCAGCTCCCGGCTGAGCGTAGGCCCACCCCTCTCATTCCCAGGCCCGTTTTAATGCTTCCGTTTCTTGACAGTATTTCCCTGGAATATTATCATCAGCTGACTTGCATCAGTGGGCTTCCCCCCCTTGAGGTTGACCCTGTGACCACCCACTGTGCCTGGCACTGTGGGTGCTGGAGAGAGGGGCTCATTCTTGGGGTCTGAGGGTTGGGGGGTCCCTGGGTCCCCCTGACCTCTGGACGTGATGACAGCCTCAGCCTAGGCCTCGTGTCTCTCCTGAAGTGCTGGCTGCCCGGGCCCCTGTCCTCCCCTTCGGCCTCACTGCAGCCCTCAACCTGAGCTGGTGACCGTGGCCCACAGGGATGCGGGGCCGGCAGGTCCGGCATGTGGCAGTTTGCTGGTGGGGGAGCCGGTGTACTGGGAGCTGTCATGCCAAGTTTCCAGTCTGCTGTGGTGGGCTCAGTACTTGTCACATCTACTTTCCTCGGTCCGCCTGTCTCCCACCCTCCTCAGCAGTGTTCTTGCCACCCAGATTTGCCCAGGCCAGCTCTCTGGGATTGAGGCCAGTGGGTGAGAAGGAGGGAGGAGGGGGGCTTGGAGGAGGAGGGCAGGGTGCCTGCTTCTTGGGCGCAAAGACCCTGGCTGCCAGAGTCTCTTGGGGATTCAGTGGGCTAGTCCATGAGAGGGCTTGAGAGAGTTAGTGGCTCCACCTCTGCTGCTGACCTGACCTTGGGCAGAACACCTGGTCTCTCTGCCTCAGTGTCCCCACTTGTGGAATGGGACTGTAGCACCAGCTACCTCATAGAGGGGTTATTATGAGGACTGGTGAGATGGTGCACATGGAACATGTAGGTCACAGTGCCCAGCACATAATAGGTGCCTATAAAGTGTGGCTTATAATTAGCACCATCCAAGGGGGGCAGTTGGCCTGCTTTCCCCAAGGAAATGCTTCCAAGACATGTACCCTCATCTGGTAAGCTGGGGGCAGGGAGCCTGGGCTTGAGGGGCTGGAGGGAGGTGGAGAGGAAGGGAGAAGAGGGCTTGGCATTCCAGGCCTTTTCCTCAGAGGTCCCTGCCTGGTAGGCCCAGCCTTTCCATCCCACACAGTCAGAGGGGGTGGGTTTCCTAGAGCTGGTGAGTCCAGCTTCTCTCCTGGCCAGGTAGTAGGACCACTCTGGCACTTGCCTGGCCTGTGCACCCCTAGCCCACAGGACTGGGCCCCATCTAGGCTTCTGTGGGCACAGAGAGCAGGAGGGAGAGAGCACCATGATTCCCAAAAGTCTGTGTCTTCTTAACCTGTTCCCCCGCCACTGGGGAAATGGTGAGAGCCTGATCATATTTAATACGTTTTGCTGAGAGGAGGGAGGCACAGTATCAGCACTCTTTGATCAGTGGCTTGACCTGTGAGAGACTCCCCTCATTCCCAATTGATCTATTATTTCATCGATTCGTTCAATCACCCACCACTTGTTCATCCACCCACCCATGTATGTACCCTCTGAACATCTACCCATCCAACCACAAAACTAACCAACTAATCATATACACCCACTGCCCACTGGCTCAGTCATCATCCATCCATCCATCCAACCCAATCTCCATCCATCCATCCATCTATTTATTCATTTATCCATCCATCCATCCTCCTGGCGTGCTGCAGTCCATGGGGTCACAAAGAGTCGGACATGACTGAGTGACTGAACTGAACTGAATCCATCTATCCATCCATCTGTCCACCTATTCATTTATTTATCTGTCCAGTCCATCCACCCATCCATTGGTCCATTCATCTATTCATCTATCTGTCTATCCATCCATCTACTCACCCACCCAGCACAGATTTCTTGCATGCCTTCTCTGAGCCAAGTACTGAACATACTATATGGTGTCTGAACTTCTGGGGGTTTTGCAGGTAGAACTTTTGAGACTTTCTGCCTTTGGCTCTGTCCTTATTTCCCTCTCTCTGTTTGTCTTCTCACTTTGTCCTCCTGTCTGTCCCTTTGTCTGTTCTCCAAGTCTGTCTTCCCTGAGTCTTTGCTTCTCTCTGTCTGGCTGTCCCTCTCTTTCCCTCATGTGTCCCTGGCCCTCCAGGGTTCTCTCCCCATCCCCTCCCTCCTGCCTCTCTTTCCTCCTCCTCCCTGGCAGTGTTGTGGGCCCTCACCCTCCTCCCTCCTCACTCTTTCCGGGCCCCAGTCCCTTAGGGTAAAAGCCTGCCCTGTTCCCCCCTCCTGCTGCCTGCCCATGGTGCTCAGGACTGACTCTTTGATGAGACGCCAATGAGGTGATGTCTGGGTTTTGTTAAATGTCATAAATAAATTATTAATCCTCTCCTGAGCAGAAGTACTGCCCCCCCTCTCCTGCCCCTGCCGTTATCTGTGGAGGCCCGTGATGTGGGGGCACTCTGAGGACTGATGGGAACCTTAGTCTTGGTGGCCCCTCCTTGGTTGGCCCTAGAGTGGCTCTGAGAACCCCTGGCCCAGCGATGCCTGAACTCCCAAGTCCTTCAGTTCCCACCATCTTAACCTTCCTGAGTCCCTGGGTCCCACCTGCTATTGCCAAGCACTTCAGTTGCATCTCACAGTTTCTAGTTCGTCATCCCGTGAGAAGGGCAGTGCTTGGCCTGTTTGTTGTTTAATTTAAATTTATTTATTGATTTTTGGCCACGTCACTCAGCTTGGGAGGATCTTAGTTGCCCAACCAGGGATTACACCCATGCCTTTGGCAGTGGAAGTGTGGAATCCTAACCACCGGACCACCAGGGAACTCCCAGAACTCGGCCCATTATAAGGATGAAGATGTGAGCTCAGGGGAGCAGGGGCTGGTGGCCACCCCACCAGGCAGGGGCGGGGGTTTGAAGCCTGTGCTCCCCTGTCCCTCCTCCTGGCCACCAGGTGGTCTTGTCTCCTTGTCTCCTGGGGGAACAGAAGGAGCCCCTCTCCCCAGGCCCTGGAGGAGAGGGTGGACGCTGGCTGGGCTGGGTCCCCATCACTGACATTTGCTCACTCTTTTGGACCTCTGTGATGGAGCTCTTGATCTGGCTCCTGGCTCCGCCTCCCTAGATCCATCAGCTGCCCGGAATCAGATGACCTAACTCTTCCTTTCACAATCATGTTTTTCTTCTGCTGTGATCACCTTGTGTTTGCTAAGTTGCCTGGGGGGCTGCACTCTTACCCAGGCCCCTCTGGGCTCTGCTGCTGCCCCTCCCCAGAGGACAGGGGCAGGGGGTGGGCAGAGCTTGGGGACTTGGGGTGGACTAGCTCAGACCACCCCCACCCCAAGGGAGCCCTGATGACCTTCCAGACCAGGGGCCAGCCTGAGTCACCTCAGCGTCCCCAGGGCACATCCAAGCATGACACAGGGGCAGTGCTGTTTAAATGCTTGTTAAGTAGGTGCAGGGAAGGGCTGAGTTCTGGGGGGGTCCTACACCTGGAGGGAGGGGCAGGTGTGGGGACCACCGGCCAGAGTTCTATGCTGGCTCTGCCGCCTGCCAGCTGTGAGACTGAGAAGTGGGCAAGTGATGAGATCCTTGGAGCCTGTTTCTTCATCTGCAAATGAGGGTAATATTACTGTCTCCCCGGGTTGCTGTATGGAGCAGATGAAGTCCTGTAAACAAACATACGCTACCTGCTTCGAGCCTGGTGCAGGCGGTAGGTAGATCCACTGTTGTAAGGTGTTTCTCTGGGACGGGTCCATCACCCTTGCCTGGGCTGCAGCCTGTTGAGCTGCCTGGGGGGTCCCTCAGGGCTAAGCCAGTGTGTGCAGGGAGTTGGTGAGGGGCTGGGGATAAACTCGGGGAAAAGCCACAGAAGGTGCCTGTGTTCGCCGTCCCCCCCAGTCCCCCTGTCTGTTCTCTGAAGCAGCCTCCCCCTGCCCCCTCCCCAGGCCTGGGAGACAGAACAGGGCAAATGGGTCCTAATTATAGCCCAGCTGGGATCGATGGAGCCTGGGGCCCTGGAGGGGCAGGGTTGGTGCGGGAGGACACTTCCAGGCAGCCTGGAAGGGCTGTGGGGCAGCCAGGAAGAGCTGGGAGCCAGGCGGGGCTGGGAGCCGGCAGGACGAGAAGTCCTGAGGCTGCTTCTCTTTGGTGGCCTCACCCCAGGGAGTGCGGGCTCCCACGTTACCACTGGCTGGATGCCCTGGGGAGGGGGTGGATGCCCGGTCTCTGGGAGGGGCACCAGGAAGGGTTGCTTGGATATGACTCCTCAGGTCTGGTTCTGGTAGAAGCCCAGAAGACGGAGGAGGGGGCAGGGCTGGGCGGGAATTATGGGGGTTTGTGGGAGCACTGTCACAGAAAGTCAACCCTGGGGGTCCTCAGGGCTACCAGAAGCCGTCTGGGAGAAGACAGTGCGAGTGGGCAGCGTGGGGTCCCGCTCATCGTGTGCCAGTCTGGAACCTTCCCAGAGGAGGAATTTAACCAGGCAGATGGACCTGGGCTGTGAGGTCTCCTGGAAATGGAGGGAGAGGTCTGTTCAGGGGCCGAGGGCCTGAGGCCTTATCCTCTGAGGCCAGAGCTGTGCTTAAGGCTTGAGGTGCCCCTACCCCGTTCCCAGGCAGGATGGGGCACCACCCATGGGTGACCCCAGCTTTCTTCTCGAATCTCTTGCAGCCACCTGCACATCCCCTTGTCTGTACCTGCCAGCTGGTCAGTCTGTGACTGTGTGCTGGGCTGGCCTCCCCAGTCTGGGGAACTGCCCTGCTGAGGGGACAGGGGATGTGGGGAGGAGGCCGGAGGCAGGAGGGAGAGGCCCCCTCCCGATTGCATCAGCTGAGCCTGTTACATAACTGTGCTGGGCATTGCCAGGGTGCGGGGGCGGCTCTGCCCAGGCGGTCTCTTTGCAGCTCCAGGGGAGGTGGAGGTGGGTGGGGGAGTGGGCAGGCGTGGACGGGCATCGGATTCCCAGCCTGGCTCCCCACCAACCATGTCGTTGTTCCCCAGAGCCCTCCACTCCTGGATGGCTCTGGGGGTGCCCCTGCACCTTTCTAACTGGCACGAGAATCTTTACCCCTCCCACGTCAGGGTCCAGGGAACAGGATGGGGTTGGTTCCTGCCTCCTCTGCCCGGCTCCCCTCAAAGCCTGCCCATGTGAATCCCAGCTTTGGGCCCACCCTCACTGCCCGGCCCTTGTGCCAGCCACAGCAGCTGTGCCCTCCACAGGGTCCTCGGCACTGCTCCCTCTGCTGGTCAGGACCACTGAGCAGGCCTCCCGGGATGGCCAGCACTCAGCCCACCCTCAGGTCATTCCTTCCTCCGTGACAGCTCCCTCACCTGCCTGGAGTTGGCTCTCTCCACGTCTGTGTTCACCTGGCAGGATGGGAAGGGGCTGGGACTCAGGTGTGCCCTGCCACCTGCTCCAGTGGACCGACCTCTGCTGTGCAAGATGGGGGGGGGGGGGCGGCCACAGGCCCTTGGCTACCCTGGAGGAGACCCTGGTGCAGAGGGGTGCCCAGTCAGTGGTGCAGCCCTTACTTTCCCCAAGTAGGGAGTGGAACGTGTGGGAGATGGCTCTCCAGGGCATAGGGGTGGGGGGGCATTCACTGGGCCTCCAGGGTCACCAGTGCCCTCTAGCTGTATTCAGAGTGTGACCAGGGGCACCTTTCCCCTCCCCATTGGTGACTGTGGGGAACAGGGGTCTAAGGCCCCTGACTGTGTGCTAAGTCGCTTTGATCATGCCTGACTCTTTGTGATTCTCTGGACTGTAGCCGCTAGGCTCCCCTGTCCATGGGATTCTCCAGGCAAGAATATTGGAATGGGTTGCCATGCCCTCCTCCAGGGGATCTTCCTGAACCCAGAGATCGAATCCACATCTGTTATGTCTCCTGCATTGTCTTCTTTACAACCAGTGCCACCTGGGAAGGCCCCAAGCCCTGGAGTAGACCCCTGTGGAGGATGGGGGGGGATGTTGGGGGTGTCCAGGGTGCAGATGTGTGTCCAAACATCTGTGGGTCTGACACATTCAGCAGCCAGGATGTTTTTCTCTAAAAGGCATCCTGGCGGGGGGGGGGGGGCCCTATTATTTAAACTTGATTCATCGAGGACACTCGGTCCATTTCCCAGAGGAAAGTCCCCTGGGTGGCCCTGACACACCTCGCCTTCCTCAGGGTCTCCCAGGGTGTCAGTCTCACAGTGGGGTCCCTCTCAGAGGCCAGCCTGAGGCTAAGTGAGACTCCCTATCCTGTCCCCCACCCCCCGGTGCTTCTCTCTGTGCCCCCGCCCTGTGCACATGGGCCATGAGGGTGGGGGTGGGGGACAAGCTGCTGGTGTGGGGGTCTGGCTTTCTTGAAGCTCCTTTGGTGGACCCTTTGGAGGTTCGATTGGCTCATTCTGGAATCTCCCTTCATCCCAGAGGGGCAGATGTAGCTCTCCTCCAGGTGTTTGTTTTTTTTTTAATGGCATTTTATATACTTAAAAAATTATTTATTTGGCTGCGCTGTACCATAATTGCAGTACATGGGATCTTGGATCTTTGCTGCAGCATTGGGGAATCTCTGGGCTTCCCAGGTGGTGCAAGTGATAAAGAGCTCACCTCCCAATGCGAGGGACATAAGAGATGAGGGTTTGATCCCTGGGTCAGGAAGATCCCCTGGAAAAGGGCATGGCAACCCACTCCAGTATTCTTTCCTAGAGAACCCCATGGACAGAGGAGCCTGGTGGGCTACAGTCCATGGGGTCACAAAGATTCTGGGCACAACTGAAGTGACTTAGCACGTGGGATCTTTAGTTGAGGCATGTGAACTCCTAGTTGTGACGTGTGGGATCCAGTTCTCTGACTAGGGGTTGAACCTGGGCCTCCCACATTGGGAGCTCAAAGTCTTATCCACTGCACCAGCAGGGATGTCTCTGGGTGTTTGTTCTTCCTGTGTCATCTTGCTGCCGTTTGCCCCCAAGAGGACCCTCCCATTCCCCACCTCCACCCCAGCCCCACAGAACTCAGGGCTCATACCCTTTATCCCCCTGACATCCTGGGTGGGAGTTAGACCCCAGCCGCAGGCTTCCTTTGGGGGGTGGCGAGAAGCACAGAGATGCCCACCTGACATATTTGTCTGCTCACCTGGCCTTTTGGCTGCATGAAAGTGCAAGGAATTCAGGAAAGGCAGGCAGTTTCTAGAAAACACACCTCTCTCTGTCGACTGTCACACTGTCCGGAGCGCCCAGTGGAGTGTGTTTGGCACCTGCTGTGCCGGTCTGGGTCCACGTGACGGGGATGGGTCTGTGTGGGTGCAGGTGGGGACTAGGCCAGGTGGCGGGGCAGTGTGGCCTTCAAGTCCCCATTAAGGGGGGTCCTGGCCTCCGCCCCGCTGGTCTCTCCTCCAAACTCCCAGGCACTTGCCCCACGGCCTACCTGGCATCACCTAGGGTGATGTCACCTGCAGGCATGAGCTGTCTCCTGGCCCCACTGTGGGCCTCTGGAGGGGAGGTAGGCCCTGACCCTCCCTGGGCCAGCTGGAGATGGCTTTCTGACTCTGTAGAGCTGCTTTCTTCCTGAGGAGCCGGGTCAACAAAGCCTGGCTTGTTAGTCAACAAAGTTAGTTGTTTTTGTTTCAGTTTCTGGAGCACTGTTGTAGTGAGGAAGATGGTTATTGTCCCATTTCACAGATGACAGGAGGAAAGGCCCAGAGAAGTGGAATGGTGTGCCATGGCCCGAGGGGCTGGGTTCCACTCAGCGGGTCTGGGGGATGACTCTGAGGGGTTGGGGCAAGGGAACTAGGTGGAGGGAGAAGGGGTGGGCTTTAAGTGGGGGCAGGGAGGGGTGGGTGGACCTGGGACAGTTGGATGGCAGAGGAGCTTGCTGTCCAGTGGCCGAGCCTCTCCTGGGTTGGGGAGTGGCTCTCCCTAAAGGAAGCAGCAGAGTTAACTCCCTCCCCCTTCTTATTCCTCCAGAAGAAGAAGATGGTGGCCTTGAAGGCTTTGATGACTTTTTCCCGGAGGAGCCTGTGAGCCTCCCCAAGAAGAAAAAGCCCAAGAAGCTCAAGGAGAACAGGTCCAAAGGGAAGAGGAAGAAGAAAGAGGTGAGCAGGGCCGGGGCTGTGGGGAGCTTGGCTGCTCCTCCTGGGCCTGTGGAGAAAGACCTGGGCTTCCAGAACCTTCCAGCGAGGGAGGGTGTGTCCTGAGAACTGAGCTTGTGTGAGAACGCCAAAACTGGCATCTGCCGTGCGCAGTGCCCACCGATACCTGCCCGAGATGGATCTCACGTCGTGTCCCATCAACTTTAGTTCCCTGACCAGGGATCGAACCCAGGCCCTCAGCAGTGAAAGTGCAGAGTCCTAACCACCGGCCCGCCAGGGAGTTCCCAGGTGTGCTGTTTTCTTAATCAGGGTGTTCTGGGGTGTTTATTCTTTTCCCCTTGGTGGCTGACCTGGGCCATGACGACACGGGGTCCCCGGTGCTTGCACCGCTTCACGGAAGGGCCTTTATTCCTGCTTGCACCTGTGTCCCCTGCCTCCGCGTCCACTTCCTCGGTGCCGTGGGCAGCACCTTCTGCTATCGCTGGCAGGTGTCTATCCCTCGGGTTTGCTGCATCCAACCTGTTGTGACTTGGGGTCCTGATGAACATGATCAAAGTGGGGGAAGAATAAGGAGACCTGAGTACGGGATGGGTCTCTTACAAGTAATTTGAGTGCACATTTCCAGAACACTCCACATGGAATCACTTTGTCCTCAGCATCAACGTTGGGAATCGGGGTCAGATTGATCACCTCCTGGCAGAGGGGCAACCTGGGGCTGACTTGCAGCTTAAAGCCCCTCGCACTCAGAGGGGATGATCCTAGGGCAACTTGGGGACTCTTGTCTCCCACCACGTGGGAGCTGCCACCTCTCCTTGGAGTTACCCCATCCTCCAGGTAGCTTTATGGGGAGGGGGTGGTGTGCACCCTGCTTTAGAGAGGAGGCTCAAGAGATGAACTTGCCCAGGGTCACAGTGACATGGCTGAGATCTGGCCCCAGGGATGTCCAGGGGCCTGTCCCCCTAGCCTGGTCCTCCCCTGGCCTGTGGGATTTTTGGTGGGGAAGCACTGTCAGTTCTCTGGCTTTCTCACCTCCTCTGTCCAGAGGAGACCTTCCTGGTCCAGCCTCGCAGGGGAGGCTGTGGGGGAGGTGTTAATAGGCTTGGTGACCCTGGGCGTAGAGTAGCAATGTGCTTGTATGTGGAGCCTGCTGGAACTTTCTGATGTGCTTCAAAGGCCACCATGGGCCTCTGGCTTGTCACTTGCAAGGCTTTGTGTGGGGGCAGTGGCGGGGGGGGAGTGCTATGACTTTGCTATGAAAGGTCCTTGAAGGTGCTGCAGGGGGTGGGGAGGAGGAGACCCCTGAAGACAGAAGGCCTGTGATGCCGGGCAGGCCATGGTGGGTTGGATTCTTCCCCAGATCTCCCCAGACCACTGCTCACACCTGTCTGAGCCTCACTTCTGTGTCTGCGGTAAGGGGGGTGGTGATCACTTTGCCCCCAGCCCCTTGTTCGAGGGCAGATCAGATGTGGGCCGGGGGGGAGCCTTCATATGACCAGTGCCACGGGAAAGACCAGTAGCCTTGGGGACATCCAGAGTGTTACCTTACAAGTGTCTGGAGGGTGGACCCTGCCCTGGACTGTGCCCCTGGGTTCTCATGGTGGTCAGCCAGGGCTGGCCTGTCAGGAGCTTGGGGACTGAGGCAGGGAGGGGTCAGCCCCGTCTCCTCCAGCTGGAGCCTCACAGGTGTGTTCTGTCTGTGCCATTGCTGGAGCTAGGGGTCAGCATTCCTCTCCGGGACTGCCCACTGTGCTGCTGTCCTTGCTTCTGGGAGGCCCCCATCAGACAGCTGCCCTGTCCAGGCTCCTGACCTCGGCTATCCCTGAGCCTCTCCCTGCCCTCTGAGGCCTTGCCAGGCTGTTTGTCTCCTCGGGCACATATAGACTGCCCTTTATGCCCTTGGAGGGGCCTGAGTCTCCGCTGGGCCCAGCACCACCCCTGTCTGACACTCTGCTCTGCATCACTGTTGCACCTCAGCTTTGTCCTCACCACCTGCTCCTGGCATCCTGGGCTCCCTGATCGGCAGGTCTGTCCCCTCCCTGGACACCCTACCCCTAAACCCAGGGCTGTGTGTGGGAAGGTTTGTGAGCTGAAGCGTCCTGTCCCCATTATCCAGGAGGGGAAGTGGAGGCAGGAGAGAGGAAGAGGGGGACCCCTGCCTGGAGGCTCCCATCAGGGAGATGCAATGGACTGGGCCCCCTGCAATGGGGGGACCTGCTGCAGCTCCTCTCCCCACCCTGGCCTGCAGGTCTGTCCTTGTTGGGAGTAGAGAATAGATGGTGAGGGGCTGGTGGGGCCCTGGGATGCAGGGGTCGACTTCCTGGTCGAAGCTGTGAAATCTGGACCTCCTGTGGCCACTGGGCTCACCCCCCAGACCCGGGGCTCCCTGGATGCGGGTGGAGGGGGATTCTGGGTCTTGGGGCTGAGCACAGGCACCTCCTTCCCCGGGTCCTCAGTGATTTCTCTCTTTCAGCTTCTTTCCTGGGACAGGGAGGGAGGCTGGGCCAGCGTGGGCTGTTCCATCTGGCCCTTGGTCTCAGGCCTCAGGCTGGGTCTCTGCCCGGTTTCCAAATGGTGATGAAGGCCCATGAGGGGAGCACCAGGGGCCTGTGGCCTCCCTTCCCGGCTCTAGGTGGGGGTGAGCTTTCTCTAGCCTTCCTGGATACTGGGTACAGCAGGCCCCTCCTTGAGGCCCTGGTCAGGAAGAAGGCAGGATGTGGGCAGAGTCTTGGCCACAGTGAGGCGGGGGCTGGGTGAGGGGCGTGTGGCCAGGGGAGAGGGGCTGGTGGCTTCTGAGGACAGGAGGGCTGGTGCCTGCCATCCGCATGCTGGGATCACCCTGATCACCCAGGTCTCTCGTCTCCTTTCTCCAGCCCTACCTGGACACAGGGTTTTGTTTTTGTCTCTGAGCCCAGCTCTCACTGCCATGGCCGGAACTTGGCCTCTGTGAGGGACCCGTCTCTTGCTACCTCTTCCCTGGCTTCCCTTCCCCTCCTCTTTGCCCCTCTGCATTTCTTCCCTGCCCACCTCATCGTCTTCCTGCCCTCTCCCCCATCCTTTCCTCTCTCCCTCCTCTCACTTCCTCACCCTCTCTCCTTCCTCTCTCCACTGAGATGCAATTCCAGATCTCAGAGGGAATGGAGGCCAGGGGAGACTGGAGGGCTGCAGGAGCCTGGGCAGTGCCAGGCAGGCCCCCAGTGTGGCCTTCGGACCATTGCTGCCCCCCCCCACCCCCCACCACTGCACTGCTGAGAGCCTGGCTTGGCAGCTGTCAGATTTCCAAGGTCTAAACACGCTGCCGCTGGAGAAAGGGATTTCGGCCGCCGTGTGCTCACTGTCTGCTCCTCCACCCGCCTGCAGACCCGAGTTCTCATGATGTGGGTGAGGGGGATGTCACCCCTTTGCTCCTTTTCATCTCCATCCGGGTGGTCCCAACCCAAGACCATGGGTGGAGGGTGCAGAGGGCCCCCCGGGTGATGGAACCCATGCAGCAGCAGGCTTTTGGGGGGGGGCTGGGTGGGGGGACAGGCAGTGAGTCGTGAATTCTGATTTACATAAAATAACCGGGCTTTGGCCGGAACCTGAGCATATGTAGATGAAGCTCCTTGTCAGACCCAGCGCAGGAGGGAGAGATGATTTCAACCTGTACTGCAGTGGTTACCATAGCAACCAATTATTCAGTGCTAAATTATAACTGTTTATAACACTCGTGAATGGGAAGGCTCATATTTCATTCTTTCTTTTTCCCTCTCAATCTTGAAGGACCCCAATTTGAGAATGACCAACTCTCCGAGTCCCTCCTTTTGAGTTAAAATGCCTCCTTTTTAAGAGATATGGTGTGTGCCAAGCTCAGGCATAGAAGGAAGGGAGAGGGAGATGGAAGGCCTGGATGGAAAGACATCTGCAGAGCTGCGGGGGGGAAGGGTGGACACTGGCTGCCCGATAGGGATCCCCAGGGCCTGCATTGGTGGCTTACTGTGCCTTTCGTGGGCCCAAGGCTCAGGGCAGAGAACCCCTTCTGCCTACCCCCAAGTCCTCACATACCCAGCCTGGGAGTAGCATCTAAGGCAGCCTTGCACATGGATTCTGTTGGGACTCCAAGTTCACTTGAGTTCTTTGACCATCAGGGGTGTCCCCTGGAGTCACGCCTGGGGCAGCTGCAGCCCAGAGGACAGCGTCAAGGTCACAGCCTGATGAGTTCTGATGTTCAGAACCCAGGTGTGGTTTGGGGCTGAGGTTGCTTTAGGGATTTTTTTAGGGCATTTTTGTCCTGTGCCTTTACCTACCTTGTGAATGTGGCTTGGCCCGCACCACCCCCGAAAGTTTCAAGATGCCGTATGGCTGGTCTACTCCTAGGTTTTGGTCCTTCCTGCCCTTCTGGCCACTGGCTGCTCTGCATCCCTCTGGGTCCTGCTGATGGGTGCCCCCTCTTCCAGTTGTTTTCAGAACCATGTGCTGCCCTTCCTTTTGCCCCTTTGTCTGCAAGGGAAGATTTTGGAAAAACAAAACACAGGAGAAAGGAGGCCCTGGTCTCGATGGATGCAGAGAGGTGCTGTGGGTACAGAATTATTATACCAGCAGGAAACTCATCTCCAAAGACCTGTCCTGCATCCCACTGGCCACCAACCCCCCTGCCTCCGACTGTGTGAGCAGTAGGGCTTGGATGAGATTGGGGTACAGATGGGGTGGACCAGGCAAGTTGAGCCTCATTTTGGTGGGGGGAGAAGGAAGGGCACAGAGGAGATTAGGGAATGGGTGGGGAGTTGGAGAATTGGGGAACCATCTCTTCTTTCTGGCTGGCTTTCCTTGATGCAGGTAGATGGGGTGAGGAGGGTCTCCCCATTCTGTGAAATGGGAGGCTGCCATCGTTGTCACCCTAGTGGGTGATTGGGGCCACTGACGTGCCCGGTGTCGCTCCAGCTCATTCCTCTAGAAAGAACTTTGCCCTCCTGCTCCCCCACTTAGACCAAAAGTGGCTGCTGGACCAATCCTCCTGGCAGTGCCCAGCTTGGGGCCCTCTGCCAGGCCTGCTCCTCCTGCACTGTGCACACACAGACAGAGTGTCTGCCAGAGGGGCCTTCCCTGCCTCTTCCTCCCTCTAGCTCCCTCTGGGCCCTGCCTTCAGAACTGCACTGGCCACCGCTCACTGCTCCTGCACTTGGGATGTGGTAGTGCCGGCTCCCAGAAGATGCTCAGGGAAAAACCCCACAGGCGCAGCCACAACAGCCCCTTCTTGTTGCCTGTGTGTGTGTACGTGTGTGTGTGCGCACATGTGTGTGTGCGCACGCGTGCTCAGTTGTGTCTGACTCTCTGTGACCCTGTGGACTGTAGTGCACCAGGCTCCTCTGTCCATGGGGATTCTCCAAGCAAGAATACAGGAGTGGGCTGCCATTTCCTCCTCCAGCTGAGGAGTTGGAGGAAGAGTTGAAGGAAGGATTGCATCTTCCTGACCCAGGGATCGAATGCATGTCTCCTGTGTCTCCTGCATTGGCAGGCGAATTCTTTACCGCTGAGCCACCAGGGAAGCCCCAGCTGCACTGTAATTGTTGTCCAGCTGCAGGCACTGTTCATGCACTTGACTTTAATCCAGTCTGGATTTGCAGAAATGAGGGAGATGAGGCTGGTTGGGTCCTCCAGCTTGTGGTCCTGGTCGCATCTTCGACTTTCAAGCAGAACTGGGGGCATCGTGGGTGCTTGAGTCTCCCCTGTTTCAAAATGTTTAAAGCCCTCTCTCACAGGACCTCTTTTGTTCCTCTCACTGCCATTTATGACATCCCCATTTCACAGATGAGGAGACTGAGATCAGGGTGTTGCAGTGACTTGCCCAGTTCCCTGGTTAGCAAGGGTTTCATAGCCCAGAGACAGCCTCTGTCCTGCAGCCTCCCAAGGGAGTCCCAGGACCTGTCGTGGGTCCTCCTGTCTCATCCCTGGTCTGGTCTGTTGGCAGGTGAGAGCCAGCCCCAAGCCCCTCCCTTGGGCCCCACAGCCTCTGTCCGCGGTGCTGAAGCTGGAGGTGGCTGCCTCCTCCCATCCTTACCTTTGCTGGGATGTAGGTCCTGTCTCTCAGGTCTTCCGAAGGGTGCTCTTTCCAAGCTGGCTGAACTCTACACCCTCAGAGGAAATAGACATCACTGTGTGACCTCTGCTTCCCCAGAGGACAGAGGCAGAGCAGGGAGCTGTGCCTATGAGCCCTGGGAACAGGATTGCGTGTGCGGCTGTCCTATCCTGGGTAGGCTCTGGCAGTTGCCAGGACCGGTGCACTGCCCCTGGGGCCCAGTGTGGCCAACCGAGTCAGTATTCAGGGAAACACTTGCGTTCCGAAAAGGCCCAGGCCCTGCTGCCTGCCAGCCACCAGCCAGCACACTGACTCAGCAGCTTAATGAGCATAAACGGTTTGGAAGCAGGGAGCCGGCCTAGGCAGAGAGTGAGCTGAGCAAGCAGAAGAGTCAGGAAGTGCAGGGACCCCTTTGGTGGGTCCTTTCCCAGAGGTACCTCAGGGAGAACCTCCTTCCTGGAAAGAGACTCTCAGACTGTAAACGTGGCTGGACAGGGCAGCAGTTGGCCTGGACAGACAGACCGACTGTCCTTATTGCCCTCCATCTGCTCGGCTCCTCCTCCATCTGCTCCTTCCCTCCCCCACCTGCCCTCCTCTCCCTCCTCCCCTCCTTCTTCCTCCCTCTTCATCTCCTCTTCCCTCCCTCATTCCTCTTCTCACATCCTTCATCTCCCTAGTTCTCTCTTAATCTCTTCTGTGCCTCTCTTTGCTCACCTTGAAGAGAGAGTAAACCACCAGCATGATGATCATCATCTTCCTTGGAGCATCTGTGCCTGGCCTCTCCTGCAGACCCTGGCTGGGAGGGGTGCCCTCAGCCCACTTGCATCTTCAAAACCCCAAATACACAGCTTTCTCAGAGGGACAGTGACTTTCTAATAGGGGATGCTCTGTCTGTAAACACCCTTATCTCCATATAAATGGGCCATTTTCTGCCTGTACAGCTGGGAAACTAAATCAAGGAAGTCAAGCTTAAGAGCTGCCTAAATTACCTTGTCTCATGTTGAGATGAAGCAGCCAGGATGAGGGCCGTGGGCAAGGTGGGCTTGTTCCTTAGCAGCTTCTGGAGAGCCCACACGCAGATAAGACTGGCATGACTTCCCTGGTGGCTCAGTGGGTAAAGAATCCACCTGCAGTTCAGGAGACACAGAAGATGTAGGATTGATCCCCAGGTTGGGAAGATCCTCTGGAGAAGGGCATGGCAAACCAGTCCAGTATTCTCACCTGGAGAATCCCATGGACAGAGGATCCTGGTGGGCTACGATTCATAGGGTTGCAAAGAGTTGGATACAACCTAAGTGACTGAGCACTGAGCACGCGCACTGTATGTTAACCACAGTTTCACTTGACACAAACAACTCCATAGGATGCAAAGATAAGCAGAGAGGTGCGGAGGTGGGGTCCGGGGCAGAAGCCAGGGGCTCCTCTCCAGCCTAGCCTACATTTTGTTTTTTGGCTCTGGGCATCACGTCCTCTGTGTGTCCAAGGGTCATCCCTGACACTTGTGTTACATCCAAGTCCATAGAAACCTGAGGCAGAGCCTGGACCTCACTCCGGGGCTGTCCAAACAGCTGCCCTGTGCTTGTGCATTGTAAGGGTGAAGCCTGGCTTCACACGATGCCTTGACTTACCTGCACGGCACCGTTTGTCACGTCGGGGACGAGACCCTTGCCCCATGCTGGTTCCCGGTGATCAGAGCTTTGGTGACCTGGTGGCTGAGACTGACCCAGAAAGCATGGGCCGACTGACTCTTCCAGGAGGCCACTTGCAGGGCAGTGCTGCTGCCTAGGACTGGGGGCCCTTGTTGTCCTCACCATCCCCCTTTCTCTTCCAGGGGAGCAATGACGAGCTGTCAGAAAATGAAGAGGATCTGGAAGAGAAGTCAGAGAGTGAAGGTAGTGACTACTCCCCGAATAAAAAGAAGAAGAAAAAACTCAAGGACAAGAAGGAGAAAAAAGCTAAGCGGAAAAAGAAAGATGATGAGGAGGATGACAATGAAGATGGGTGCCTCAAGGTAACACTGAGGCCTGGCTGGGTGTGGGGGGTTCTCAGGAGGGGGGCTGAGCCCCTGCTGCCAGCTCTCTGCCTTCTGACCCCAGAGCCCCTGCGTGAAGAGCCTCCTTTCCCACCAGTGGGTGTAGAGACAGATGGGTCTGGGGGTGTGAGTGTATCCATGTGCACACGTGGAGAAGTTGGACACGAGTTTGTGAGAAATACTGTATCCACAAGTCTTCAAGACACATCAGAAACAATGGGATGACTGTTAGGAGTCGGGGGAGGAAGTCAGGCAGCCCTTTGCTGATGTCCGTTGTCTTGCCTGGCCTAGTGCAGAGCTGTTTCCAAGGGGCGTGATGGTCTGAACTCAAGTTTGGTGTCAGGAGCCTCTCACTCAGAGCAGTTTGGGAAAATAGAACAAACGGAGCTTTTGTCAAGAAGCAGCAGCTGTGGGACTTTCCTGGCGGTCCAGTGGTTAAGACGCTTCACTTCCAGTGCAGGGGGTATGGGCTCAATCCCTAGTTTGGGAACTAAGATCCCATATATTGCATGTGTGCATGCTCAGTGGTGTCCAACTCTTTGAGACCCTATGGACCATAGGACACCAGGCTCCTCTGTCTATACAATTCTCCACTCAAGAATACTGGACTGGATCGCCATGCCCTTCTCCAGGGGATATTCCTGACTCAGGGACTGAAGATGGTACAACCAAAAACTTAGAAAGAAAGAAAGGAAAAAAGCAACAGCAGCTGGACAGCTCTGCTTACTGTAGAAGGGGGATTTACTTAGCACGTGTTCTGAAATTCTGCCCGCCTGGGTGTCTAGGAGAGTGTCCCAGGGAGCGTGAGCCAGGGCAGCTGTAGCGATGGGCCTATAGCTCTCCCCAGGGGCAGAAGCCTCTTCCTCATGAACATGAATGTGGGGAGCAATGTGACTGAGCCAAGGCTCCGGAAATCTCAAGGCCACTCCGTGGAGAGGGGAAGGGCTGAGGGTAAGGCAGGCAGGGATAGATGACAGCACCACACCTGGGAGTCTCCTGCTTCCATCCATCTTTCCCCGAGGTTCCGTTTGGGCTGGCTGTGGATCTGAAGATTAGCACTCCATAAATATTAGTACAGAGGCTGATGGGTGAGGCAGAGGTGGTGACTGTCAGCCACTGAAGTTGGGAAGTGCCCGCGGTGCCCCGACACCCAGGGGGAGCTCATTAGCTGGCTGGCGTGTTGTGAGTCATCTGTGACTGATAGCGGCCGAGAGGCTGACAACTTTGGAAGATGAACTTACGGGAGTGATTCAGGGTGATCCTGGAGCGATGCCATTGCTTGCCCACTTGTTGCTCTGCTTCCTGGTGGGAGCAGAGGCCTAATGTGCCTCCAGGAATGACTGTGTGTCAGGGGCAGGTTGGCCCAGGGAGGAGGTCCTACATGGGAGGGCCTGTGAACCATCACAGAGATTGGGAGGCCAGGAAGAGGGTCCCTTGGGGCTGAGGGAGCCTGTGTGTCCTGCCCAGATGGGCTTCTCTTGCTGGAGCAGACAGCCCAACCCTGAGGGACTTAGGGAGTCAAAGGGGTTTGTTAGATCAGCAGCCCCAAGAGCTGCGAGGTAAGGGGACTCCAGTTCAGGGGACCCGTTGGTGTGATCCAGGGCCCTGTTTCTTTGCCTTTGTGGGGTCAGCTCTGGGTTCAGGCCAGGCATCCTCATGGCTGAGAACAAGTGTAGCAGCAGCTCAGGGCTTCCTGGACTCCCACTGGCCCGTCCAGCAGGAGGGGAAGCTGGGTCTCCTTATAGGAGACCTAGGGCTGCCCCTGCCTGGACTGGTTAAGTCACATGCCCACCTGGACCAAAGATGCTGCCCGGGAGTGGTGTGTGCTGATTGGTGGAATGGACCGGTGGGCGGGGCTGGGCTACCTGGAACAAGTGTGGAATCTGAGTGAGGGCGCTGTTCCAAAGACCTCTGCTTTCCATGAGGTAGGTGCTTTATCCCCACTTTACAGTGGGGAAACTGAGGCACAGAGAGGTGACGTTAGCTTGTTCACCTCTCACTGACACTGTGTGGCAGAACCAGGATTGGTACTTGAGTCTGTCTGGCAGGTTCTAATCTCACAGTCAGCACTACCCGCCATCCCCCTTCCTAGCCAGCCTCTGTCCGCTTGGTGACCTGATGCCTGGGCTGGCCACCTCTGTGCCCTTGGGAACTCACACACCTCCCTGTGCCTCTGCTCCCAAAGTGAAACAGTTGCTGAGGGCCCCCAGTTGCTGAGGGCCCCCAGCTGGGCCCCACCCTGGCCAGGGCACACCTTCCTGGCCCCAGAACCCAGCAGCAGCCTGTCCTTTCAGGAGGTCCAAGTGTGACTGTATTACCCCAAGGTGATAGCCTGGGGCAGAGAGAGTGAGTCCTGTACCTATTCCTGCCCTGGGCATGCACATGGCTTCCCCTCAAACCCCCACATTAAACCCAGACACATGGTCCCGCACCCCCTCGTAAGCTGGCATCTGAGCCATTCCCACTGCTCAAGGGACTGGCGGCCTGGGGTGCTCTAGGATATTTTCAGTTTGGGGTGTGAACTGCTCTTGTTAAGTTGCAAGTTGCAGACATGATCACCCCAGCTTTCCCCAGGCCTCCTGGGTGGGGCCCCAGGGATGGCGGTGCAGGTTAGAAGGACCCCCACCTTTGATTCCATCTCTGGCCCCTGTGTCTGCAGGAGCCCAAGTCCTCGGGGCAGCTCATGGCTGAGTGGGGCCTGGACGACGTGGACTACCTGTTCTCCGAGGCCGACTACCACACGCTGACCAACTACAAGGCCTTCAGCCAGTTCCTCAGGTGGGCCTTGGGGCTACCATGGCTGGGCACCACGGAGACAGCCTCCCTGAGGAACCAAGTGTGGAGCCAGAGGGACAGGGCCCTGGGCTTCTGGGGTGGGGGGAGTGTTGGGCTGACATTGACCCTGGGCAGAGCTGGCAGAAGGGACAGGACCTTCCACTTCCACAGACGGTCCTGCCCTCCCTTGCTGGTCCTGCCTCCAGGAAGGATGGCCCCAGTCAGTCCCAAGGTCTTAAACCCCCGTGGCCACTCTCAGCTCTAGAAGAAATGGAACTGGACTCCCAGGGTCCTGCTGGAGGCCCCTTCCTCTGGGTCTTCAGTCTTACCGGGTCTGGAAACCCAATTAGAAGGTGACCAGCCCTATAAATAGGAAATCAGGGGTGTTGAGGGTGGACAGCTGTCTCTGGCTTGGTTCTCTTCCTCGGCCTTCCATTCAGCCCACTTTTCCCAGTTTGCCACATATTCCAAATGTGGGAGGAGATGGGTGGGTCTTGGGGGGTCACATGGCGGTCTCATCCGCCTCATGGGGTTGCCCTCACCCTCTACCTCCCCCCACCCCCGTGCAGACCTCTCATCGCCAAGAAGAACCCGAAGATCCCCATGTCAAAGATGATGACCGTCCTGGGTGCCAAGTGGCGGGAGTTCAGCGCCAACAACCCCTTCAAGGGCAGCTCGGCGGCAGCAGCTGCAGCAGCAGTGGCCGCGGCCGTGGAGACGGTCACCATCGCACCTCCGCTGGCCATCAGCCCCCAGCAGGCGCCCCAGCCTGTGCCCATCCGCAAGGCCAAGACCAAAGAGGGCAAGGGTATGGCTGCGGGTGGGTGGCACCCAGTTCTGCTGTCCGAGGCCCCCCAGACCCTATAGCTTGGGGTGGCTGGGACAGCTGGGCAGGTCTTTACCTAGGACCCAGTGCCTTGATTGACCTTGGATCCACACGCCCTTTCTCACCTATGTGGTAGCATCTGTCTTGCCTCCCTTCTGGGGCTGGTGGACAAGTGGAGGGGACAGCTGGCTCAGAGTTTTGGGAGTTTTCCCGGGCATGGAGGAAGGGACTGCGGTGGCCCAGGCTGCTGGGAGTTGGGGGGCTCTTGTGTTTGAGGCTGCACCATTCCCAGGGAAAGGGGTCCTAAAATGACCTATTGATCCCTCTTCTGAGGGCCTGGCCTAGGTGGACATGGGCGTGGTCAGTGCTGGCCTCCCAGGGAGACCTGGAAGGAGGTCCAGATACAAAATCGGACTCCACGGTGATGTCTGGCTGGGGACAGAAGAGGCTGTCTGTGATTTGAAGTTCTCTGGGAGGGGCTTCTCTGCCCTGAGTGGAGGGTTTCTGGCCCCCTTGGGGGTAGGGCCATTGATGTCCCCCAGACTCTGAATGGTGGGCTCACCTGCAGCTCACCTTCCTGGTGTCATGACCTGGGTTTTGATGGAGGGTGGAGGAGACTGTGGGGACCTCTTGTTTCTGCCCCAAGCAGCTCTGGTTTCTGGGACGATGCATTCTTTTGCTAGGTCCTGTAGGGACCCTGGTGGGCAAGTGATGCAGTCTTCAGCATCTGCGCCCACTCAACTCCCTCGCCAGCCGCCCAGCTAGCCTTCTTTCTCATTTCCTCTTGGGCTCCAGCTGCTGAGTTATCGATTCCCTGAGCTGCCTATTCAGAGCCTGAAAAATTGAAATAGATTTTCTGTGGCGCCACTGAGGTTACAGCTGGGCTGCCAGCCCCATCTCTCTGTGTGGATGTGGATAGAGGAGGGCGAGGCCATCTGCCTCCAGGCCCCCACCTTCCCTGCTCAGCCTGGTGGGAAAGGCTGCTGGGGGTGGGTCGTTACTCCCCAGGTGGATAATTATCCTGTGGCCAGCTCCATAAAAATACAGCCTCACCTCTACTGGCCACAGAGGTGGGGGAGGTCTTGAGTGGTGCCAGTGTAGGGGTTCAGTGGGCAACCTGGAGGCTGGCTGCTGGGGGAAGGGCTTCTTGCTCTAGCCCACCCCTCCAGGGCCCAGGTATGGACTGCAGGTAGGTGGGTGTGCCCCTTGGTGGCCCTGCTGGCCCTGAGGGTCTGTGGCTTTACTGGGGACAGCTCCTTTTGGGGAGAGGGATGAAACAGGGCTGTTTCCAAGATGGCAGTGCAGTGGCTAGGACCGGGACTGGACCAGGGTTATGCTTTGGCCTCCCCTGCTATTTGCTGTGCAGCTTTAAGCAAAGATTTCACCTCTCTGAGCCTCAGTTTTTTTGTTGGAAAAGGGGTGACAGCAGAAACGATCCTTTCCTTACGGGGTTCCTGTGAGGCTGAGTGAAAGCATGGTGGTAAGGAAGCAAGCTGTGTTGCTTTTCAGGGCCTGGAGTGAGGAAGAAGATCAAAGGCTCCAAGGATGCAAAGAAAAAGGGCAAAGGGAGAAAGGTGACTGGGCTCAAGTTCCGCTTCGGAGGGGTCGGCAGCAAGAGGAAGAAGGGGTCCTCGGTGAGTGCGAGTGTGAGCCTGAGTGTGTGTGGAGTGCACACCACGCAAAGATTGGGTGACTGAAAAGCAGGCTGTCAGTTCATTCTCCTGTACCAGGAAGGGGGCAGGTCCTGTTCCCCTTCCCCACTCTCTCTTCCTATGCTACATGCCTGCCTGCTGGGCCTTTGTCCACACCTGACTGGTGAGGGGGTCAGCCTGGATCCTTCCAAGGGTCCCTGGAGTGTGGCCTCTGGGTGGTCCATGCCTCTAGCTCTTTCTCCTGCCCACCCTGCTGAGCTGGAGACTCAGTTCCAGCTCCCTTGGCCCCAGCTGCCTCTTTATCTGGGCAGCAGGTGGGAGAGTCCTGGTGGGGCCTGGATGCCCAGGTCTGCTAGGAGAGTGGGCCCAGGAAGGAGGCCTGCAGGTGGGGGCAGGCAGGGCTCCAGCCCTTCGAGGGCAGCTCTGGCACTCAGTTGAGAATGACCCTAAGTCTGTATCTGAGCCTTTGAGCCCTCTTTCTCCGGTATTGGGGCATTCATCCCTCCCTCCTGCTCCCATAGGTTACCTGTTTCCCTGAGCCCTGAAAGGGGGCAGGGATGGAAGCCATCTCTTTGTCCTTTGGGAGAGGCAAGTAACAGGTCTCAAGTGTAACTGCTGTGGAGGGGAGCATAGAGCCGCAGGTGTCCCCACTCAGCTTAGCTTTTGAGCCAAGACTAAGGTGCTCGGCCCTCTGCTCCACTTCGGTGCACCCTGCTCTGGAGCTGCTCACAGTCTGGAAGGGTTTGGGTGCATGTACTGGGAGAGCCAATGACATACAAATGGAATAGGCCGGACCTGGCACACAGGCTATGCACCAGGTCTCATCAGGGAGAGATCTGGGAAGGCTCCTTGGGGGAGGCTCCCTAGGGCTTCCCCTTGGGGTGTGTGTGTAGGAATTTGGCAGGATGGAGGGAGAGTTATGAGGGCTGGAGAGCAGGGCTTGGGGAGGGTGGCAGGCCATCAGCCTGGACCAGTGGGCTAGGGGGTGTTTTAGCTGGATGGCAAGATGAGATGAACTGCAGACAGCACCCTGTATCCGGAGCTTCCATGGTACCCTGCCATACCTTACCCTGAGAAGCCTTGAAACAAGCCCCTTGGGCCAGCTCTGGGCTCATAGGGCCCTCTCCTGCCCCTGCAGAGCGAGGAGGATGAGCGAGAGGAGTCGGACTTCGACAGCGCCAGCATCCACAGCTCCTCCGTGCGCTCTGAGTGCTCTGCTGCCCTGGGGAAGAAGAGCAAGAGGAGGCGCAAGAAGAAGAGAAGTAAGACTTCTTGTTTGTAGGGTTCCTTTGGGCATCACATGGATGTGGAGTGCAGAGCCCCCTTTGGGCAGCAGGGAAGGGCATCCTCAGGCCTCAGCCAGGCCAGGCAGGTCCCCTGTGTTTACTCAACCACCCTCCTCTCTGTGTTTAGGAGAGGGGGGTCCTGTCTCAGTGGGTCCACATCTATTAGGGACCCATAATGTGAGTCACCCCAGGGCATTTGCATGGCAGAGGGGCACAGGAGAAGGAATTGTCTCTTAACCACACCCACCGTCCACCCATTCAGTCATCCACCCTCTACTCATCTATCCCCCCACACCCCGGTCTTCCCACCCACCCTCCCTTTTTCCATCCTTCAGTCCTTCCTCCCTCCCCTTTATCCATCTGTCCATTCATCTTTCTGTCCATCCACCCACCTTTCTTCTTCCATTCCTCCTCCCTCCCTCCCATCCTTCTTTCCTTTTACTTGTTTTCAATCCATCTCTTCACCCCTTTACATTTTTTCTTTTTTCTGGCTGCACATAGTCATAGTGAAAGTCACTTAGTTGTGTCAGACTCTTTGCGACCCCATGGACTATACAGTCCATGGAATTCTCCAGGCCAGAATACTAGAGTGGGTAGCCTTTTCCTTCTCCATGGGATCTTCCCAACCCAGGGATCGAACCCAGGTCTCCTGCATTGCGGGTGGGTTCTTTACCTGCTGAGCCACCAGGGAAGCCCAAGAATACTGGAGTGGGTACCCTATCCCTTCTCCAGCTGATCTTCCTGACCCAGGAATTGAACCGGGGTCTCCTGCATTGCAGGCTGTCAGGGAAGCCCTGCACAATGGCTTGTTCTTAGTTCCCTGATTAGGGAGTTAACGAGAGCCCTAGTCAGTCAAAGTGCAGAGTCCTAACCACTGGATCCCCAGGGATTTTCCCTCTTTACTCTTCAATCATTCTGTTCACCCTGTCTGTCCATCGCCATCCATTCATCCATCTATTGAGTGGCTAGTATGTGCCAGGACAGCCTGTGGTGGTGATTGGTTGTGCATGGGTAGTGGGGACATGGCCCTCCATGACTACCTCTTCCCCCTCCCCAGTTGATGATGGCGATGGCTACGAGACGGACCACCAGGACTACTGTGAGGTGTGCCAGCAGGGTGGGGAGATCATTCTGTGTGACACCTGCCCGAGGGCCTACCACCTCGTCTGTCTGGACCCCGAGCTGGAGAAAGCTCCTGAGGGCAAGTGGAGCTGTCCCCACTGTGTAAGCCCTTGGCAGAAGCCGGGGGTGGGGGTTTTGTCAGTCCTGGTCTTCCAGACCCCTGCATGGTCTTCTCGGGGCAGAACATGGGGCGGTGCGAGTGAGGGAGGGAGCTGCACCATGGTGGCGGGGCGTCCTTGCCCAGGGTGCCTCCACCTGGACTCCCCGCCTCCCCCCCAACCCCCCCTCCAGGAGAAGGAAGGGATCCAGTGGGAGCCGAAGGACGACGACGACGACGAGGACGAGGGCGGCTGCGAGGAGGAGGAGGACGACCACATGGAGTTCTGCCGCGTGTGCAAGGACGGAGGCGAGCTGCTCTGCTGCGACGCCTGCCCCTCCTCCTACCACCTGCACTGCCTCAACCCGCCGCTTCCCGAGATCCCAAACGGTGAATGGCTCTGCCCGCGCTGTACTGTGAGTGTTACGCCGGCCCGCGCCGAACGCCCCGCCCCCGACAAATCTAGGTCCCTTCTGCGGCAAGGACCCCGCTCACAAAGGCCCCATCCATCAAGGCCCCGCCTCCGCCAATCCAGGCCACGCCCACCACGGCCTTCGCCCAGGCCCCTCCAGCCCCCTCTAGCCCCCACCCACCTAGGCCCCGCCCCAGCAGGCCCTGGCCATCAAGGCTCCGCCTCCGGTGGCCACCCACCAGCTCTGAGCTCCCAGCCTGCCAAGGCCTCGACCCGCCCCTGCCCGTCAAGGTCCCGCCCACAAGGCGTCTCCCCGTTCTGGCCCCGCCCCATCGTCCATCTGCTCAGTCCCAAGCCCTCTCCTGTCGCCTCGAGTCCTGCCCATCGTCTCACCTAGGCCTCCGCCGCTTCTCAATTCCCTTCAGACTCAAGCTATGAAAAGAGAGGTGGTCATAAACCTGCCACTGCCCGTAAACAGCCACTGTTTACTGGGCGTCTCTCCAATGCTTACTGAGTTTTCAAGTACCAGGCCTTTTGTTATTTTCATTTTTTAGATGGGAAAACTGAGGCTCAGGGAGATAAAGTGACTTGCCCAAGGTCGCACAAGGTCTCTTGGGCTATAGCCTCAGTTTCAGCAGGGAGAGGAGAGCATCCCTCCAGTCACTATAGGTGTTTGAAGGTGTCCGTGCTCTGAGATGTCCCCAGCCCTCCCCCAGTGCTGGATACCCCACCCTGTGGGTTGGGCCAGCCCTCGGTCACCCCATGTGCATCTGGGCTTGCGTTGTGCGTGTGCGTGTATGTGTGTGCATGCGTGTGTGTGCAGACACACATTGCCTCATCTGCCCGCACGGCATGGGCGGGCTCCTGAGGACAGGGTGGTGTCTTGGAGTCACTGTGGTGCTGTCTGACTTGGGGAGCAGAGCAGCCTGTTGGAGGGAGCCTTGGGGTGGGGACCTGAAGCTAAGCCCTGAACTTGGGGACCTTCCTCTGTCCACAGTGTCCCCCACTGAAGGGCAAAGTCCAGCGGATCCTGCACTGGCGGTGGACAGAGCCCCCAGCCCCCTTCATGGTGGGGCTGCCGGGGCCTGACGTGGACCCTGGTGTACCCCCGCCCAAGCCCCTGGAGGGCATCCCAGAGAGAGAGTTCTTCGTCAAGTGGGCTGGGCTCTCTTACTGGCACTGCTCCTGGGTGAAGGAGCTCCAGGTGAGGTACCTGGGCAGGTGCGGCTATGCTTAGGACATGAGGTGCTCTGGCCAGCCCCCTGACTGAGGGACATTGTTGGGCGCTGGGGAGGGGGAGGAAGAAGGTGAGGATTGTCCTGCCTGGGACTCAGGCTGGGGCTGGGGGGGGGGAGCTGGGTTCAGGGACACCGGAGGTCATGGCCATCTGCCTTCCTTGACCTCTGTCCCCTCCGCAAGCAGCTGGAGCTCTACCACACAGTGATGTATCGCAACTACCAAAGAAAGAACGACATGGACGAGCCACCACCCTTTGACTACGGCTCTGGTGACGAGGATGGCAAGAGCGAGAAGAGGAAGAACAAGGACCCTCTCTATGCCAAGATGGAGGAGCGCTTCTACCGCTACGGCATCAAGCCCGAGTGGATGATGATCCACCGCATCCTGAACCACAGGTGTGTGCCCCGCGCATGAGCTGCGCTGGACATGCAGCCCCTTCAGTCTGTTAAATGGGCACAGGACCACATATGGGTGTGGTGGGGGCAGGAGGGGAGGCTGAGGACACCCGCTGCGGGCGATTTGACCATCCATCTGGAGGGGTTTTCGTGCACAGGGGTACATGTATGCACCCATGTTTACACTTGCATTTGCACATGTTACACTAGTGGTAGAACAGTTCCTTAGTCATATGTATAAAAGGGCACCTTGATGAGTGGCCTGTGAAACTTACAGATGGGACACTTGGAGGGCTAGGACCCTTGTGCTCCTAGGCCTCTGCTGAAGTCAGTGCTTGGTACCTGCGGGAGGGCCTGGGGACCACAATGGACCTGAGCTGTGGGTGTGGGTACACATTTGCTCCTCTTTATAACACAGCTATCACCACTGAGTGCCATCTACCCAAGAGGTAGGCCTTTTATCTCCGCCTTTGTGTTTGTGGACACCATCAAGGTTAAGTCACTTGCCTAAAGTCACATAGCCAACAGGCAGGGGTGCTGGAATTGGAACCCAGTTCTTCCCTGATGGCAGGAGTTGCTTTCTTGGCCACTATTCCAAGTTCCAGTGCCCTCGATAGCCCTCCGTTGAGCAATCCAAAATTCCCTAGGTAACAGTGGTCAGAGGCTGCAGAGACCAGATAAAAGGACAAAGGCAGAAGGCCTCCGAGAGTTCGGCTTTGGTCTGGTGGGTGGTGGGAGCTCTTGCTGATTCTTGAGCTCAGGTGCTTGAGAACCAGCGGTGGCTGACAGGTGGGCACAGGGTAGGGTCCATGGAGGCTCTGTCACAGAGCGACTTGGGGTGCAACAGAACACATGTGTCCTGAAGGCAGGAGCTGGGTAGAGCAGAGCTTCAGAACCTGAGTCTTCCACTCGGATCCCAACCCTGGCTCCCATTTTCTGGGCTCTGAGCCTCTGTGTTTCTTTTTTATTTATTGATTTGAATGGGCTGGGTCTTTAGTTGTGGCATGTGAAATCTTACTTGCAGTGTGTTTGACCTAGTTCCCCAACCAGGGATCAAACCTGGCCGCCCTGGTTGGGGAACTAGAAGTCTTGGGAGTGTGGAGTCTTAGCACCTGGACAACCAGGGAAGTCCCCTGTGCCTCTGTGTTGCTAATGAGAAACAGGACTGTGAGAGTACCAACCCTACAGGCTGCTGTTGGGGCCCAAGGAGGATGCCAGTGCCTGACAGCAGGGCCGTCAGGAAGCGGTGGTGGGGGTGTGGGAGAATTTGAAAAAACCACCCCCTTGATCATGAAATGCCTCCTTCTCCCATCCCCTGGCCTCACTGACAATGACTTGAGGCCCCTCCGCTGCTGAACTGATCCACAATTTTTTACCTTTATTAAATTGCATGTTCTAAACATAAATGCTGATTTTTCTCCCTGTCTTCAAAGTGGGGCAGGTGAATTTCCTCCAAATATATTACCTGAACGGAGTCTGAGTAACTACCAATCATTTATTTAAAAAAAAAAAAAAAATCCATTGGTTTCCATGGTGACGGGGGTTGGTACCTCTCTGCGTGTGGTTCCCAGGCCCAGCCACTGCCATCTGGGGCAGCCAGGGCACCCTCGCCTGCAGGGCTGCCCTGGCTCGGTTGCTCAGTGCACTTGTGTTGGGTGGGAGGTCCCGAGACCCTCCTGGGAGCTGTATTCAAGCTTCAGTGTGTGACAGGCTTCTCTGGTGCACCCTCTGTGTGCTGCTGGCTGGGCCATAAGGTCTCCGGGTCCCCAGGGGTCTTTGGGAGAGGACAGCCCACCAGGAGGAATCACCTCCTTCTCTATTTCGTGGGGATGGACACCCCTCTCCAGTCTTTGGGAGTTCTTTGTTCCTTTTCAAACTTTTTATTTTGTATGGGGCGTAGAGCCAGTTAATAATGTCATGATAGTTTCAGGTGAACGTCGAAGAGACTCAACCTTACGTAGACATGTATCCATTCTCCCCCAAACTCCCCTCTCATCTAGGCTGCCACGTAACATTGAGCAGTTTCCTGTGCTGTACAGTAGGTCCTTGTTGGTTATCTATTTTAAATATAGCGGTTTGTACATGTCCATCCCAAACTCCCTATAGCTTGGGAGTTTTTAAAAAAACTTAATATTTTGGGTGCACTGGGTTTTTGTTGCTATGCTTGGGCTCTCTCTAGTTGTGGCGGGCGGCGGGCTACTGTCCAGTTTGGGTGTGCTGGCTTCTCATGGTGCTGGCTTCTTGCTGAGCACAGCTCTAGGGTGTATGGGTTCAGCAGTTGTGGCACGCAGGATCAGTTGTCCCACCGCATGTGGAATCTTCTCGGATCAAGGACGGAACCCACGTGCCCTGCACTGGTAGGCAGATTCTCAGCCATTGGACCACCAGGGAGGTTCCTCTTTGGGACTTCTTAAGTGAGAAAACAAAGGTCTATGGTCAGGGGAGAACTGTCTGACTCAGCAGTGGAGAATTCTGGAGGACTCCTCATGACGGAATGGGACTCATGGCAACTGAGGATGGAGAGGACACTAGCTTTGCTCCTCTGCTAGTGTAGGGGACCCTGATGTCCCTCTGCTCTGCCACTCACCCTGTGCCCTCCTACCTCCTTCCTACTAGCTGTGTGGCCTGTGGGAGTCCCTGCCTGGTGCTGCCCTCCTGGCCGGGGCTTCCCGGGGACCCGTGAGGGTGAGAGGCTTTGCATCCTGCGAGATGCCCTCTGTGAACTCTGGCCTGGATGACCTGCCCTCCTTCATCTGTTTACCGTGTTGCAGCTTCGATAAAAAGGGGGACGTGCATTACCTGATCAAGTGGAAAGACCTGCCCTACGACCAGTGCACCTGGGAGATTGATGAAATTGACATCCCCTACTACGACAGCCTGAAGCAGGCCTACTGGGGCCACAGGTGCGCCACGCTGGGGCCACTGGGTGGAGCCTTCCGCCTCCCCAAAACGGCCTGAGCTCTGCTCTCTCATCCTGCCCTCTTTCCCAGGGAGCTGATGCTGGGAGAGGACGCCAGGCTGCCCAAGAGGCTGGTCAAGAAGGGCAAGAAGCTGAAGGATGACAAACAGGAGAAGCCCCCGGACACACCCATTGTGGATGTGAGTGGGGAAAGGGTCACAGGGTGGGGTTGCCACCCAGGCTGGGCCTCGGAGGAGGGCAAGGTCTCCGGAGAACTCTGCCGTGGGTCTGTGCACCTGGAGACGTCTCCATGCAGGAGGGGGCGCTGCGGCTCAGCCCACTCCTGCCAGGTACCTGGTGCGACAGGGATGATGGGACCCAGCCTTCCCTGCAAGGGAGGCTCACACCCTGGGGTCCTGGTCCCGAGTCCTGTAGAGTGGCAGTTCCCAGGGGACAGAGCGATTTGAAGGATGGGTCGGGTCTCGGTGCACAAACTGAGGAGCAGAGAGTCTCTTCTCAGAGCAGTTTATGAACTTGTGTTCTTTTAGATGAGTGAATTTCAAATATTTCTTTATTTACTTATTTATTTGGCTGTACTGTGTGGCATGTGGGATCTTAAGTTCTCCAACTAGCGATCAAACCTGCGCTTCCTGTAGTGGAATCGTGGTCTTAACCACTGGATCACCAGAGAAGTCTCTGTAATTCCAAGTCTTTAAATCAAAAAGTGTCCCTCACTTCAGGAGTACAGAAGCTGATTTGCTAATTACACACCATTCTTATCAGTTCAGGGGGAGGAGATCCAGGACTTAACCTGGGAGTTTTGAGCCTACCGGGGAATGGAAGGTTGGCTTTTATTCCTTTAGCAAACCTCTCTGGGATGTTTGCTAGTACCTGGCCCTGATGGCCAAGGCCCTACCCACCTGTTCCATGAAGTGCTCATCTTCCAGGGGCTCATGGAAGGTCCAAACAGAAATGGGGATTTGGCTTGGGTCTGAGATGCAGGGTAAGGTGAGTGGGTCTGATACATCAGGGGGACTTCGTGGGGATGACGGCCTTGAGCCGTAGACTAAAAGATGCAAAGAGGGTGATGTTTGAGATCAGGCACCCTGGGCAAGCATCAAATGGGTGTTGACTCAGTCCCCGCTGAGTCAGAATAGGACCAGTATGGTGACCACAAGCTGGGCTCAAAATCAGAGAATGCAACAATTGGGAAACTGCCCTGATAGATGTATGGGGCCACCCTGGGAAAGCATGGTGGGAACACCTAAGCCAATCCTGGAGTCAGGGAAGACTTCCTGGAGGCAGAGGCATTCCAACTGAGGCCTGAAGGATGAATAAGTTAGCAGGGACAAGAGGAGTGGGAAGAGTATTCCAGGCATAAAGAATCATGCATGCAGAGGCCTGTCGGTGGACCTTGGTGGCTCAGGATCCAGGGTACGTCTGAACCTCTGCTTCTTCTGCAGCCCACGGTCAAGTTTGACAAACAGCCATGGTACATCGACTCCACGGGCGGCACGCTGCACCCGTACCAGCTGGAGGGCCTTAACTGGCTGCGCTTCTCCTGGGCCCAGGGAACCGACACCATTCTGGCCGACGAGATGGGTCTGGGCAAGACTGTGCAGACCATCGTCTTTCTCTACTCCTTGTACAAGGAGGTTCGAGGGCTGGGCGGGGCGGCCGGGGAGGGTGGCCGGTGTGGGCTGTGGCTGGGCAGCCTCAGTGCATCCGTCTCCCTCCCCAGGGGCACTCCAAAGGGCCCTACCTGGTCAGTGCGCCCCTGTCCACCATCATCAACTGGGAACGTGAGTTTGAGATGTGGGCCCCTGACTTCTACGTCGTCACCTACACGGGGGACAAGGAGAGCCGCTCCGTGATCCGGGAGAATGAGTTTTCCTTTGAGGACAATGCCATTCGGAGTGGGAAGAAGGTGTTCCGGATGAAGGTGAGCACCCCTCCCCCCAGGAAGGACTCTGCACAGGAGCCCAGTTTGCCCTGGGGGGTGGTGCATAGGGGTTCTGCAGTTTATCTGGGGTCTCTCCTTTTGGGCTCCAGTGGAGGCAGCAGCTGGTGAAGAGTTGCTTTTAAGGCAGGATTTCCTTGTATCCATGTCCTGGGCCTGCAGTAGCACAGGGTGCAGTGGGGCTGAGAATAACACTCACCCTCTCACTGTTCTGGAGGCCAGGAGTCCGAGACCCAGCGGTGGGCAGGATCCTGCTCCCTCGGAAGCCCTGTGGGTGGACCCTTCCGCATCTCCTCCAGCATCTGGTGGCTCTTCCTTGGCCGTCCTTGTTTTGCAGGACCATCTCTTGGTTTTTGCAGAAACCATCTCTTCGGTTTCTGCCTCTGTTGTCATGTGGCTGTCTCCCCTGTGTGTGTCTGTGTCTCCTTTTTTTAATTTGATTTTAGTTTATTTATTTTTGGTGGCACTGGATCTTTGTTGCTGCGGCGGCTTTTCTCTAGTTGTGGCAAGCAGAGGCTACTCTCTAGTTGCGGTGCATGGGCTTCTCATTACGGTGGCTTCTCTTGTTGCAGAGTTCTCGGGCGCTCGGACTCAGCAGTTGTGCACAGGGTCAGTTGCTCTTTGGGATCTTCCCAGATCGGGGATGAAACCCATGTCTCCTGCATTGGTAGGAGGATTCTTTACCACTGAGCCACCAGGGAAGCTCTCTCTCTCTCTTTTTTAAAATTTGTTTTTGGTCATGCTGCATTGCATGTGGGATCTTAGTTCCCCAACCAGGGATGGAACCTATGCCCCCTGCCATGGAAGCTCAGGATCTTAACCACTGGACTGCCAGGGAAGTCCCAACATTCTGCATTTCTGATGAAGTCCCAGATGGTGTGCACACTTCTGGTCCTCAGGCTGCACTCTGAGAAGCGAGGACACAGAGTGGACAGTGCTTCCTGCATCTGGCACATGGGGGCCCTTGGGCAGCCATGGCGCTCACGCTAGCTGCAGTGCCGGGGGCTGGCAGACCATCCCCAACCTCCCCAAGGGGTCTCACCTCGGCTTTCTCCATGCTCTAGGAACAATCATGGCTCCGGGAGATGCCCAGTAACTTTTATTTGGCTGTGCTGTGAGGCTTGCAGGATCTTAGTTCCCTGACCCGGGCCACAACAGTGAAAGCATTGAGTCCTGACTACTGGAAAGTGGAAGGGAAAGTATTAGTCACTCAGTCATGTCCAATTTTTTGTGACCCCATGGACTATAGCCTGCCAGGCTCTCTCTCCATGGGATCCTCCAGGCAAGAATATTGGAATGGTTAGCCATTCCCTTTTCCAAGGAATCTTTCTGACCCAGGGGTCAAACCTGGGTCTCCTGCATCACGGGCAGATTCTTTACTATCTGAGCCACTAAGGAAGCCCTTAACCACTGGACTGCCAGGGAATTCTCATTACCATTTGTTTAATGAGGGTGATAATCTCAATGGTTCCAGAAACAACTTCTCTCTGAGCTCACACGGGGCTTGTGTGATGGGCTGGGTGCTTTGCTGATTCAGTTGTTTAACTTGCTGTCTTTTTTAAAAATTGTGGTAAAATACACATAACTTAACATTTATCATCTTCACCATTTTTACAAGTACGGCTCAGGGACACCAAGTACATTCACGCTTCTCTGCAACCATCTCTCTGTCATCTCCCAAGCACTTCATCTTGTAAAACTGAAACCCTGTCCCTGTTAGATACTGACTACCCCTAGCCCCTGGCAGCCTCATCCTTTTGGTCTCTGGCTTTGATTATTCTCGGTAACTTGTGTAAGTGGAATCATACCGTATTTGTCCTTTGTGTCTGGCTCATTTCATTCAGCACGTTGTAGCATGTGTCAGGTTTTCTTTTCAAGATTGGATAACATTCCCTGTATGTGTATGAATGGACACTCAACCCATGGATACTTGGGTGTTTACACCTTTTGGTGCTTGTTAATAATGCTATGAACGTGGGTGTGCAAAAATATTCATTCAAGTCCCTGCTTTCATTTCTTCTGGGTCTATACCCAGAAGCAGAATTGCAGGATGCTACAGTAATTCTATGTGTAATTTTGTTTGTTTCTATTTTTAAAAAAATTTTATTGGAGTATGGTTGATTTACAATGTTATGTTAGTTTCAGGCATATAGTTAAGTGAATCAACTATACACATACATATATTCCCTCTTTTTTAGATTCTTTTTTCATGTAGGTCATTACAAAGTATTGAGTAGAGTTTCCTGTGCTATACAATATGTTCTTATTTATGATCTATCTAATATGTAGTGTGTATATATGTCAATTCCAGTCTCCCAATTTATCCCTCCCCCTCCCCCCCGAAACAGGTTTGTTTTCTACATCTGTGACTCTGTTTCTCTTTTGTAAAAAAAGTTCGTTTGTGCAATTTTTAAAAATTCCACATATAAGCAGTCGTTATCTTTGTCTGCCTTACCTCTCTTAATATGACAATCTCTAGGTCCATCCATGTTGCTGAAAATGGCATTATTTTGTTCTTTTTTATGGCTGAGTAATAATATTCCATTGTATATATGGACGACATCATCTTTATCCATTCCTCTGCTGATGGAAACTTAGGTTTATTCCACATCTTGGCTATTGTAAATAGTGTCACAGTGAACACTGGGGTACGTGTCTCTCTTCGAATTATGATTTTCTCCTAATACATCTCCAGGAGTGGGATTGCTGAATCATATGGTAGCTCTGATTTAATTTTTAAAGGAACCTCTATAGGTTCCATGTTCTCCATGGGCTTCCCAAGGTGGCGCTAGTGGTAAAGAACCCGCCTGCCAGTGCAGGAAAAGGAAGATAGAATGTGTAACTTTTTGAGGCACATACCTAGCTCTTTTAATTCTTGTGGCATTCTTACCAAACACAGTATTGCTCCCTTTTTACAGGTGAGGAGACTGAGGCTCGGGGAGGTTAATTAACTCGACCAGGGTCTAGCTCAAAATAGCAGTTGTTGCTGTTGTTTAGTTGCTAAGTCATGTCCAACTCTTTTTTGAACCCATAGAGTGTAGCCCACCAGGCTCTTCTGTCCATGGGATTTCCCAGGCAAGAATACTGGAGTGTGTAGCCATTTCCTTCTCTAGGGGATCTTCCCAACCCAGGGATCAAATCCTTGTCTCTTGCTTGGCAGGGCTGAGTGCAAACTGCCCACAGGCTCCCTTCTGCCCCTCTGATCTCTGCCCCCCTCTCTTGGGGACAGTGCTCTGGGCCTCAGCTGAACCCTTGACTTGGTGGCCTGTGACTTCCTCTCAGTCTCCAGGCTCCCTGAGCTCTCTGGGGGTCCTGTCCACACTCCTTTTTCTCTGGAGACCTTGATCCACTGCGCTCCCAGCTCTCCTCCCAAACACTCCCCTTTCCCTCCAGAAAGAAGTGCAGATCAAATTCCACGTCCTGCTCACCTCCTATGAGCTCATCACCATCGACCAGGCCATCCTGGGCTCCATTGAGTGGGCCTGCCTTGTGGTGGATGAGGCCCACCGGCTCAAGAACAACCAGTCCAAGGTAGGAGGTGCTGAGCACTGGCCCCTAGAGCCACCTGGGTGGGCTGGCCACCCTGTGCCCCCTGACGGGCCCCCTGTTCCCCTCTAAGTTCTTTAGGGTCTTGAACAGCTACAAGATCGATTATAAGCTGCTGCTGACAGGGACCCCCCTTCAGAACAACCTGGAAGAACTGTTCCACCTCCTCAACTTCCTGACTCCAGAGAGGTTCAAGTGAGTCAGGGGGGCTGGCCGGGGAGGCTGAGCGAGTGCAGTAAGGGAAGGGGCATCAGTGCCTGTCTGGCTCTGGGGCTGCTCACTGGGCCTCAGTTTCCCTGTCAGTAAAATGGGAGTGTTAGCAGTGCACTGGCACAAGCTGAGCGCTTGAGGAACACCTGCTGGTGGTCAGCCCGTGATTTTTCACTGGCTTTGCCCCAGAAGACCTTGGGGGTCCCCCTTGGTGCCTGTCCCTCCCCCATGCCTCAGGTTATCCTTGTCCCCCCACAAAGACCTGAGTGATCACATTAGCGACAGTGCTGGGAGGCAGAAGCCTGGGGGTGATGGTGGAAATGGGGGTGAAGATGGAGCACTAGCCTCCTTGCTTACCTACCCCCATGTTCCTGCTTGGAAAGGGGATTCAGGGTGAAAAAGGCTGATTTTGGAATCAGGAGATATAGATTCAAGGGCAGGCTGGACCGTATAACCATGGGCACCCTCCAGCCTGTTTCCTTCTCTGTAATATGGGTAAGGGTCCTAGAGACTGCATGTTCGGGATGGCTTTGAGGACAGGAAGATAGCCTACGTGGCTGAGACAGCTGCAATGTGTGGGGGTGACCCAGGCTTAGAGGGAGACTGGAAGAACACCAAGGGCAAGGCCTGTGCTCCCTGGCCCAGCAGCCAGCTGGCCTGCCTTCTGACCCTCTGGCAAGTGGCAGCGGGCTGGTTGGCCTTCTCCCCACCCTAGTCCTGGCTCCCTCTACAGAGGGCTTTGGCCTCCTCCAGGCTGTCATTCCAGTTTTTTCTTGCAGCAATCTGGAGGGCTTCCTGGAGGAGTTTGCTGACATCTCCAAGGAAGACCAGATCAAGAAGCTGCACGACCTGCTAGGGCCGCACATGCTGAGGCGGCTCAAGGCTGATGTGTTCAAGAACATGCCGGCGAAGACTGAGCTGATTGTCCGCGTGGAGCTGAGCCAGATGCAGAAGTGAGCCGCCTGCCCTGGGTCCCCTGGGCCTGTCTTCTCCCAGAAGGGCCTGAGTGGGCCTTCCTGGGCCACTGCCTGGGGTGGGTGGAATGGCCTTTGGCCTCGCCCTTGCCTCCACTCAACTTTTGCACAAGCTTCCTTCTTGGGGCCTCTTCTTAGATTTCACTGATCAGGGTTGGGACTGCCAACTTTGTCCTGTCCCCCAGTAACTTGCTGGGTGATGTCAGGCCTGTGGCTTCACCTCTTGGGGCTCCTCTTGGTCTCTCTGCAACTGTGCTTGGCTGCCAGCCCCCAGCCTCCCTGCAGAGCAGAGTGTCCTCTCGGAGGCTGGCATGGCCAGGTGCATGCAGACTGCCTTTCCTCCTTGCTCTGTGACAGGAAGTACTACAAGTTCATCCTCACGCGGAACTTTGAGGCGCTGAACTCCAAGGGGGGTGGGAACCAGGTGTCACTGCTCAACATCATGATGGACCTGAAGAAGTGCTGCAACCACCCCTACCTCTTCCCCGTGGCTGCCGTGGTAGGTCCCCCATGGCCACTGTGGGAGGTCCCCTGTGGCTGTTGTGGTAGGTCCCTGTGGCCACTATGGTAGTTCCCTCATGGCCACTGTGGTAGGTCCTCCGTGGCTGTTGTGGTAGGTCCCTGTGGCCACTGTGGGAGGTCCCCTGTTGGCTACTGCTGTGGTAGGTCCTCCGTGGCCGCTGGGGAGGCCCCCGTGGCCAGTGCGGGAGGTCCCCATGGCTGCTGCGGTAGGTCCCCGAGGCTGCTGCGGGAGATCCCCATGGCTGCTGCGGTAGGTCCCCATGGCTGCTGTGGGAGGTCCCCCATGGCTGCTGCGGTAGGTCCCCGAGGCCGCTGCGGGAGATCCCCATGGCTGCTGCGGTAGGTCCCCGTGGCCGCTGTGGGAGGTCCCCCATGGCTGCTGCGGTAGGTCCCCCATGGCCACTGTGGGAGGTCCCCTGTTGGCTACTGCTGTGGTAGGTCCCCCCATGGCTGTTGTGGTAGGTCCCTGTGGCCACCATGGTAGGTCCCCTGTGGCTGCCACTGTGGCCACCGTGATAGGGGCCCTTGACCACCATGGTGAGTGCCTGAGGCTGCCGTGTGAGGGGCCTGAGACCGTGGTACATACACGTGGCTGCTGTGGGGGGCTTTCTGTGGCCCTCATGGCAAGTGTCATGGCTGCCGTGGTGCCCCTGGCTGCTGGGACAGGTGCTCAAGCCTTCAGCCCCCAGTCCTCCCCGAGTATGAAGACTGGGAGGTGATACAGGTCCCCATTGTGCCAGAAGTTTCTGTAAACCTACCTCCGTCCAGTGCTCGGGCAGGCCCTCTCCTTTCCTGGGCCCCTATGTGTGACCATAAAGTGATGGGCTACATCAGAGGGTTCCTTATAGCCTAGGGACCCCAGGCCAGGGATCCAAGGGATGACCTGGCTGTACTCAGTCACTGAGGGAGTCAGGGAGGCAGGCCTGGGTGGTGATTGTGATGTGCAGTCGTAGGTGAGAGACCAGAGCCCCAGTCAGACACCTGGCCCCAGCCTGTGGTCTCAGGACCATCAGTGGTCCTCTTGGAGCCCCGGGTTTATCCTTTATAAAATGAGGGCAATGACAGCATCTCTTGAAAGTGAGGACCAGATGAGAAAGTCCGTTTTCGGTGCCCACATGGAGAGCCTGGGACACCAGTACTCATCACCCTCACAGCTGTTGTGGTTCTAATTTAAACCCTACAGAGTTTATACCTCCTCACACCCCCACCCCATCCCCAAACAGGAAGAGCAATGCTGAGTTAAGCGTGGAGGCTGTGCTGTGGGTGACGCAGACTTGAGCAACCCCAGGCTGCTCTCACCACTCTGGCCCAGCAGAGCCTTTGAGCTGAGTGTCTTCCCAGCTGGGAGGCTCGGTTGGCCTTCCCTGGATGTGCCCTGCGAGACTGCAGAGGTCAGGTTAGAACCTTGAGGCCAGCTTGCCTCAAGGCTGTCATCCACCCATCCACCTATGTCTGTGGTCTTGGTGGAGTGCCAGCAGCGGGAGACAGATGCCAGGGATGGTAAGTTTGAGCCCTACCTGGGGACACAGTGCAGGGGGCATCTGTGTGGCTTGCTTGTATGTTCCTGCAGAGGCTGGCCTGACCTGGGCTTAGGCTTGGTGCTCAGCTCATTGCTGGACCCTCATCCCCACCAGCCCCTGCTGCCTTCCAGACTTCTTTGGTGGAGAATCAGAGAGAAGAGGGGAGCCCCCACATGACCCCACCTTGTGCTATGTCTGCAGGAGGCCCCCGTCCTGCCCAATGGCTCCTATGATGGCAGCTCTCTGGTCAAGTCTTCGGGGAAGCTCATGCTGCTACAGAAGATGCTCAAGAAACTGCGGGACGAAGGGCACCGTGTGCTCATCTTCTCCCAGGTGAGCTGCCTGCAGGTGGCTGATTGGCTTCTCCACCTCCCGCAGCTCATGCTAGCTGAGGGCGCAGGCTGCCTGCAGCCCTCAGGGCCTGATGCTATCCCTATGTGGGTTGTGTGTCAAAAGTCAGTCCTCTAGGCCTTGGCATGAGGCAACCAAGGAGAGCTGGCTGGATTCCAAGTTCAAGGCACTCAGAGCACATTGGCCATGGGGACCATTGTCCTCCCCGCTACTTGACCCTCTGGCCGGCTCCTCCTGGAGCTTCTGTCTAGGCTGGGACAACAGCCCTCACCCTTCACCCCTGCAGCCCCACTTCTCATGAACCAACGCAAGGTGGGGTCCCTTGGGTTGGTTCACGAGGAGCCCTGTGTTGGGTTAGCCGGGGGAAGTCCTCTCTGAAGCTTGATCCTGCAGTTGCACTTGCAGCGTCGCTTTTGGGGTGGTTAGAGGCAGGGCTGTCTAGCCTCAGAGATTTGTTCATCAGTGCACTTGTTCCTTTGTCCTTTTGCACTTGTCGTATGTCAGGCTCTGTGCTAGCCACAGGGGTCCAGCTCTTGTTCTCAAGACACTTACAGTCTAGAGTGCGAAACGGACGTAGACACATGTCTGTGACAGGAGTCACTGATGCTGCTCAAGCCTGGCATGAAAAATGCTGCCTGATGGTAGGACTGAGCCAGGTCCATTGCTCAAACCAGGGACTTAGATGTGGCTCCTCTGTGTACTCTGGATAAAAGTCTGCTGGTAACAGCTGCTCCTGCCTGTAGCCCCTGATCCCACCAGGGGTCTGCAGCAGGCCGAGGGATCTGGGGAAAGCAGATCAAGCTTGTGACTGTAGGCTGGGCTGAACACTGGATCCAGAATTCCCTGTGTTCTGTTTAGTTGCTGAGTCATGTCCGACTCTGCAACCCCATGAACTATAGCTCGCCAGGTTCCTCTGTCCATTGGATTCTCCAGGCAAGAATGCTGGAGCGCGTCTACCACCCTGAACGTGCCCGATCTCATCTGATCTTGGAAGCTAAGCAGGGTTGGGCCTGATTAGTACTTGGATGGAAGAATATTGGAGCGGGTTGCCATGCCCTCCTCCAGAGGATCTTCTCAACCCAGGGATCGAACCCAGGTCTCCTGCATTGCAGGTGGATTCTTTACTGTCTGAGCTACCAGGAAAGCCCATGAATACTGGAGTGGGTAGCCTGTCCCTTCTCCAGGGGATCTTCCTGACCTAGGAATTGAACCAGGGTCTCCTGCATTGCAGGTGGATTCTTTACCAGTGAGCTACCAGGGAAGCCTCCAGAATCCTCTAGCCCCCTAACATAAGACATGATTCTGAACTGAGGCCTTGAGGGACCAAGTAGAGAGAACTGCACAACTCCTAGAAGTGTGTGCAAAGAGAAAGTGAAAGAGACAGGGCCCTGACATCCAGAATGAGCCTGCAGGGGGAATTCTCTGGCTGTCTAGTGGTTAGAACTCCTCACTTTCACTACCGGGGGCCTGGGTTCAATCCCTGGTCGGGGTACTAAGATACCACAAGCAGTGTGGCATGGGCAAAACTCCCACCAAAACAAAAAACTCCAATGAAATAAATAAGCACAAGCATCAAGAAATGAAACAAGAATAGCTAATTAGAAAAAGTGTTAGTTACTCAGTTTTGTCCGACTCTTTGCGACCCCATGGACTGTAGCCCACCAGGCTCCTCTATCCATGGAATTCTCCAGGCAAGAATACTAGAGTGGTTAGCCATTCCCTTCTCCAGGGGATCTTCCTTACCTAGGGGTGGAACCTGCTTCTTCTGCATTGGCAGGCAGGTTCTTTACCACTGAGCCACCAGGAAAGCCCCTAACCAGGAAAAGGATCTGTATAACATGGAAACAAAACATTTCAACAGATTAGATAAACTCTCAGCACTGTTGAAGAGAACACTGATGAATGGGAACCTGGAATTGAAGAATTTTCCCAGAATGCAGCACAGAAAGACAAAGATAAAAATGAGACATTGCATGGAAAACACTTTGAGAGGCTCTAGTAACTATTCAATATGTATCTGTAATAGGAGTTGCAGAAAAAGAACCAGAGAAAACGGTAAAGAAGTCAGATTTAATGAGAGTCTGTAGACCTAGAGAAAGACATGTGGTCTCAGGTCTGAAGCACACTGTGGAGTACCAAGAACTATAAATAAAAATTTTAATATGAAAAGAAAACCTAGGCACATTGTAAGGAAAATGCTGCACTTTTCAGATCTTATACCTACACAGGAATGACAATTAGACTGTCCTCAGATTTTATATCAGCAATAGAAGTTGCAAAAGAAAATGGCAATATCTTCATTACACTATGGGAAAATTGCAACTGATAATTTTATGTCTAGCTAAACTATCTCTCAGGATTGATTATGGAGGATTATGGGAGCTAAGAAGGGCCTGCCTTTCTCTTCTCATAGGGAGGAGTGAAATCAGGGAAGACATCACAGAGGAGGTGCTGTTTGAGTTCCCTAGGCAGTAAGGGGGTGGGAAAAAAGTCCAGGTAATCTGGGATGGCTGTGGGATACAAAGAAAGCATTGGGATATAAGGCCCAATGGACTGGCACCAATCTGGCAAGCTTAGAATGCCAAGATGAGAATTTGGGACTCTATTCTGAGAGGTGACAGCAGGGTGGCACATGCTCTGAGCTGTGTCTTAGGCAGAAGGTTGTGGGGCTGGTATGGGGGATGGAGTGGCTCTGGGGGTTGAGGTTGGAGACTGCATTTTTCTTCAGAGAATGGTCCCAAATCAGGCCTGCCTGGGTCCCACCTGTCTCCCCACTCAGTAGGTTGCTCTGTCTCTCCCCAACTGTCATGAGGTCCCTGCCCATGGCCCCTATGGGGGTCCCTCCTCTGTGGCAGCCCCTCAGGAATACCATGTCCCTTGCAGATGACCAAGATGCTGGACCTCCTGGAGGATTTCCTGGAGTATGAGGGCTACAAGTATGAGCGGATTGATGGTGGCATCACGGGGGGCCTTCGGCAAGAAGCAATTGACAGATTCAATGGTACCTAACCTTACCCAGGACTTCTTGATGGGGACCCCTGTCTCTCCTCCCAGGCTAGGATCTTAGCCAGACCACCCAATTTATGGTCAACTTAGCTACTCCTCAAACTGCTGAAGAAAGTAGACCCAACCTTAGGTCCTAGTAGCTGATAAAAAGAATTCATCCCATGGAACTTTCCAGGGGCCTGCTTGGGTGTTTAGAACTGAGAAATTAGGAGGAGGGCAGAAGAGGAGGAAAATTCCTCTGTTACTAAATGAAGCTGGTGCAGAGGGTCTGGCCAGCACCCCTGGGCTTCTGATACTGACACCAGCTAAAGCTGCAGTTATGAGCAGGGCTGAACAGGGCCTGTCCCTGCAACAGAGACTGCTGCAAGGAGGGACAGAGCTGAGCAGACTGCCCTAGGGGAAGGACAGAGGAAGGGGCAGGGCCACCCCAGCCCAAACTCTCCTTGGTGATGCTGGGAGGCTGGGAGCTGACTCTGGAGTGGAGGGAATGTCTGGAGACATGGTCCAGCACCTCTTTGGTGGGAAGTGTTCAGAAAGATGAAGTCTGTTTCTCTGGGCTTGTGGCTGCTTCCTGCTTTCCACCCTCAGAGCAGGTTGGGGGCCCTGCCACCCCCAAACTCAAAGCAGCGATTTTTATTGCCCACTCATGTCAGAGGTAAAGCAAGTATGGCTTCAGGATGTAGACGTGGTCCCAGTGTACATGGCAGTGGGAAGCATCAGGTGGATCGGGGACCTGTGTGCAGCTCAAGCAGGTGCCATGGTCAGTCCCAGGTCACTTAATGAAAGGCCAGGATGGGCCTGAGACCCAGCTGTCTTGGGGCAGTGGGGACTGACCAGAGGGCTGGCCTGTGCCCTGGAGCTGTGACTGTGAGTGTTCAGTGGTCACTCTGACAGCATCGCATGTGGTGGTAGCTGGGAAGGCATGAAGTCTGAGCTCTGCTGACCTCCCAGGGGCCTGACCTTCAGGGGCTCTGCTGGTCTTTGCTGGCTGTTTGTGGTTTCTCTTTTGCCCCTCTGGGCTTTGAAAATCAGTTCATTCTCATTTTATGTCCCTCCTGTTGGGTCAGGGCTCGGAGCACAGCTGGGGGCTCTGTGGGGCTCAGGTGGGCTGCCCTGTCCCCGCGCCATGCCCACGGGCCCCAGGCCTCTTCTGGCTTTCCCAAGCACAGCTGAGGCCGTTGTGGCCTGTGATGGGGGCACAATTCCTGCCCCCTCACTCTGGTCTCCCCTGTGCCCTCCTGCCTGCTGCCCCTTGACCCCCATCCCGCCCCTCTGGGTATGCCCCTCACTCACTCCACTGGCACCCGCCTCTCTTCCTCAGCCCCTGGGGCCCAGCAGTTCTGCTTCCTCCTCTCAACCCGGGCAGGTGGCCTGGGGATCAACCTGGCCACGGCGGACACGGTCATCATCTACGACTCGGACTGGAACCCGCATAATGACATCCAGGTATGTGGCCCCGACAGCAGAACCCTCTCAGAGGGTCCCTTGCTGCCCCTGGCTCTGTGGGCGTTCCCTCTCCCCCACCCCCAGACTGTCTCAGGGCTTTACCTCTGCCTGGGCCCACCTCGTAGAGTCCCAGCCCCAAGGGCCACCTGGAAGGTGAGCCCCCCACCACTGTAAAAAAGAGGAAACAGCCCAGGGAGGGCAGGGGATGTGTCCAAGAACATGCAGCCCTCTGTGTGAACATGACCCCTGTTCTGTCCCATCACTCTTAGGATGAAGGCCATGGAGGGAGTCAGGATGAGGGGTCCTGGGACCCAAAGGGGGCCAGTTTGGGAACGACAGGAAAATAGAGGGGACAAGGCCTGTGGAGGTGGGGGGAGGAAGAGGCACTGGAGCTGGTGAGGAAGGGTGGGAGGGTTGGGGGTGTAGGAGCAGAGACACACTCTGCTGTCTCCTCCCCACCCTTCTTGGGACCAGGCACATACACACATTACACTCGGGGCACACATACAAACTCATGTCTCTTGCACACGTGTGTGCACCTGTGTACAGTTGCCTACACAGACCTTATTACACTGGGTCAAATCATGTGGATGCCTGATGCACAGAGCCTCAAGCCTGTCCTCATGTCACACCTGTCCTTGCAGGGTAGCTATCCCTCTCCAATAGGTGGGCTCACAGCCCCACTAGTGGTCGCTCCCAGGGAGGTGCAGCCCCCACCTTGGCATGAGTGCCATCAGCGCCCTGTGTGGCTTCACTACATCAAGTGCACTGGCCACACTGCCCCTCACACCTACCCCTGCACATGCACAGGCACCCGGGCCCGCACTAGACCAGACACAGTCAGGTCGGGAGTGCAGCTGCCTTGGTGCACATATATCTCCACGGGCAGTCACACAGCCTATTCCATGCAGAGGGTGCTCATGAGCGCATTTGCGTGCCTCCCCTCCCCCACCCCCGCCCGGTGGCTGGCCTTGGGCCCCCAGTCCTCTGTTGAACCACGGGTGCTAAGCTGCAGGTTGCCTCCAGGCCTTCAGCCGCGCCCACCGCATTGGGCAGAACAAGAAGGTGATGATCTACCGCTTCGTGACGCGGGCCTCGGTGGAGGAGCGCATCACGCAGGTGGCCAAGCGCAAGATGATGCTCACCCACCTGGTGGTGCGACCTGGCCTGGGCTCCAAGTCCGGCTCCATGACCAAGCAGGAGCTGGATGACATCCTTAAGTTTGGCACAGAGGAGCTCTTCAAGGATGACGTGGAGGGTGGGTGTCCTGGGTGCTGGGCATGGTGGGGGGTGGCCTTGCTTGAGACACTCCCCTCCCAGGGCACCCCCAGTGCCCAGTCTCTCCTCCTTCTGCTCCCCACTCCTGGCTAGGATGGGCAGGGCCAGGGTGGCATCTCTGGTGCTACCCCCCAGCCCTGCAACTTCCCATCCCTGTGTCCTACAGGCATGATGTCTCAGGGCCAGAGACCCGTCACGCCCATCCCTGATGTCCAGTCCTCCAAAGGGGGAGCCTTGGCCGCCAGTGCCAAGAAAAAGCATGGCAGCACTCCTCCAGGTAGGGGCCCTCCCAGCCCAGCCCCCAGCTCCTCCTGTACCCTGGACGGCTGTTCTTGGAAGGAAGTGGGCCCCCAAGCCCATTTTGTCAGGTTCCCTTGCCTGCCCGCCTCGGGTGCCTGCGGACCTTAGGTGGAGGGGCCGAGGGGCTTTGACAATACAGGTTCCTCTCTATGGTCACTTACTCTTCAGCTGCAGCCCCTGGCGGGGACTGGGAAGCATCATTGTCTGGAACCTGCTCTGGTGGGGGAGGGGGGTCCCCTGACTGCATCCTGACTGCCCCCAGGTGACAACAAGGACGTGGAGGATAGCAGTGTGATCCACTATGACGATGCGGCCATCTCCAAGCTGCTGGACCGGAACCAGGATGCCACGGACGACACGGAGCTCCAGAATATGAATGAATACCTGAGCTCCTTCAAGGTGGCGCAGTATGTGGTGCGCGAGGAGGATGGCGTGGTAAGCCGCGCTCCGCGGCCCCGCCCCTCGAGGCCCCGCCCCCGAGCGACCCCGCCCCTAGAGGCCCCGCCCCTGAGCGGCCCCGCCCTCATCCCTTTTAAGAAACTCGGCTCCTGGGTCTCTCCTGAGTGGCTCCTCTCCTTACCTCTCAAATTCCACCGCCCTCCGCGCAGACTGTGGATGTTAATTATTCTTCTAAGTGCCACTTTTCATTTTGAAACTGGGAGCCTCCTGAGGGCAGGGGTGGCGCTTATTCAATTCTGTATCTCAGTGCCTGGCACAAGGCCAGGGCATACTGTGGCATGAATGAATGGATGAGTGAATTACTGAGACAGGAGCAGGAAGAGGAAGACCAGCTGGGGCCGGGGTGATCAGGGAGGGCTACCTGGAGTAGGCAGGCTTTCCAGTTCCCCTTGGGCTGCTAGAGGGTGAGCTGTGGTAGAGGCAGTGAGGCCTCCGCGAGGGCGGAGATGCCCGCTGGCCTCGCCCTCACCGCGGCCTCACCGTCTGCGGCCCCCGCGCCCCCAGGAGGAGGTGGAACGGGAGATCATCAAGCAGGAGGAGAACGTGGACCCCGACTACTGGGAGAAGCTGCTGCGGCACCACTACGAGCAGCAGCAGGAGGACCTGGCCCGCAACCTGGGCAAGGGCAAGCGCATCCGCAAGCAGGTCAACTACAACGACGCCTCCCAGGAGGACCAGGGTGCGTGACGGGTGGGCAGGGTCCTGCTGGCAGGGAGGACATCCCTGTGGCAGGAATTCCCGGGGCAGGAGAGTGGGAGCCATGTAGGGTCCCTGAGCCGGGAGACGGTGGGAAGCCTTCTTGGAGAAGTGGGGCTGGTAGCTGGTGTGGGGTGTTGGGTTTTGGGGGGAAAGAGATGGGTAGTTACTCAATGACTTCACTGCTAGTGGTTTTAGTCAAGCCTCAGTTTCTCTATCTGTTAAATAGGGCCATTGATGGTATAAGGCCTGAGAATGTAGTGTAAGGTTGTAAGGTTTTTAAGTGAGCTCATAGGAAGTGCACGGTGGCTGTTTTTATCATCACTGTTATTGGGCTGGGTGTGAGGGGCTCCGGCGGGCTTCTGCTTGCACAGCCCACTCTGTGCCCCTCTTCCTGACCCCCCCGACAGAGTGGCAGGACGAGCTCTCAGACAACCAGTCTGAATATTCCATTGGCTCTGAGGATGAGGACGAGGACTTTGAGGAAAGGCCGGAAGGGCAGAGTGAGTCAGGGCTGGTGACTCTGGGCTGGGGCCAGGCTGTGTGTTGGGGAGCTGATGATCAGGTTGGAGGTCCCGGGGGCATTGGGACCAGCATCCGTCCTTTGGAGTAGGCCCTGAAGGGTCATGCTTTCTGGGGCGTGTTATGGGATGGGGTGGGTCAGGACATCTTGGGCCCCACTGAGGGCTTGTGGTGGGGCTGCTCCCCCAGGTGGACGGCGACAATCCAGGAGGCAGCTGAAGAGCGACAGGGACAAGCCCCTGCCCCCTCTTCTTGCCCGGGTCGGCGGCAACATTGAGGTGGGGCCCTCCTGCACCCCCACTTTCCCACTTCTCTTTCCCGGAATTTATCTCATCTTTCAGAGCAAAGAGCTTACCCCTGCTGCCACCCCGGGGTGTGGAGGAGGGACAGGAGGGCTTGGGTTACACTGGGTTACATGCCAAGTGGAGGTGGGGGGGTGGGGACAGACCCTCGGTCTGGTCTGAGCCCCTTTGGGTCCTGCCCCAGGTGGAGGCCCCCCCATCTCCCACTGCTCCCCCTTTGCTTCCCCGTCTCCTCCCCTCCCTGTGTCTTTCTCTTCAACTCTGAATTCCCTGCTCCCCCACCCCACTGCCTGCCCTGCCCAGGTGCTAGGCTTTAACGCCCGCCAGCGGAAGGCCTTTCTGAACGCCATCATGCGCTGGGGCATGCCCCCCCAGGATGCCTTCAACTCCCACTGGCTGGTGCGGGATCTTCGAGGGAAGAGTGAGAAGGAGTTCAGGTAAAGGGGCCGAGGTGGTGGCCCAGGGTGTGGCCGCTCGCCTGGAGTGGGCAGGCTCCTCTGGATGGGCCAGCACAGTGGGCAGTGTTACTGCCAGGCTGGGGGCAGCCAGAGAACTCACTGCTGTCTCATATCTGGTAGCTGAAGTCCAGGCCTGGGCAGGGCTCCTGTGCAGAGACCATGACCGGTCACCTCTGCCAGGGCAGCTGGTGTTATCGGAAGCATGGAGGATCTGGGTTCTCCAGGGGAGGGGCTGTCCCAAGAGGGTCCCCTGCCCGGGGCCCCCTCTGTTCTTCCCTGGGGCCTGACCCAGCAGTCCTGGTTGGGAGGCAGGTGATGGGTGACGATTCCAGCCAGGAGGTCCCCCGGGGTCCTGCCGGCCCCCCACTCCCTGAGCCCCAGTCCCCCCCACCCCAGAGCCTATGTGTCCCTCTTCATGCGGCACCTGTGTGAGCCGGGGGCTGACGGCGCGGAGACCTTTGCGGACGGCGTGCCCCGCGAGGGCCTCTCCAGGCAGCACGTGCTCACGCGCATTGGGGTCATGTCACTAGTTAGGAAGAAGGTGGGTGAATAGCCTTTACTGGGCTTTTCCTGGTGGTCGCCCATGGCCTGGGTGTGCCCCAGAGGGGGTCAATGGGCAGAGAGCAAGTGTCTGGCTGTCCAGGGTCTGAATCAGCTTAGAGGGATGGACCCAGAATGCATCTCTGGGTGGGGAAGTGGGCAGTGATGGGGAGGGGACTGGAGGCCAGGATGACCGGTGGGGATGGGTGGGGATAGGGCCTGGCATGGGGGTCTGCGGCCAGCCTTGGGTGGAGTCAGCAGCCACCCCAAGCCAGGGGCACCCCCAGTCCTGCTGGCTACCCTGAGGCCCTCACATCTGAGCTGTGACCACCTCCCTCCTGCCTCGCTCCCACCTGCCCAGGTTCAGGAGTTTGAGCATGTCAACGGGAAGTACAGCACCCCGGATCTGATCCCCGAGGGGCCTGAGGGCAAGAAGCCAGGCGAAGTCATCTCCTCGGATCCCAACACACCAGTGCCCGCCAGCCCTGCCCACCTCCTGCCTGGCCCTCTGGGCCTGCCAGGTCAGGACTCCAATGAGGAGGGGCGGGTACCCAGGTCATGGCAGGAGACCCCACATCCTCCCCACATCCCACCCCCACAAAACTTCCACCTGAAGAAGTATCACTCCCCTAAGAGATTTTCTTTTTAATGACAGCTTTGAGATGTTATTCACACACCACAATATTCACAGTATTCAGTCTTTGTGTGTGTGCTGAGTCGCTTCAGTCATGAGGCTCCTCTCTCCATGGCATTCTTTAGGCAAGAATACTGGAGTGGGTTGCTATCTTCCCAGCCCAGGGATTGAACCTGTGTCTCTTATGTCTCCTGCATTGGCAGGTGGGTTCTTTACTACTAGCGCCACCTGGGAAGCCAGAAGCCTTTAAAAGTGTATTATCCAGTTGTTTCTAGAATATCCATAGGATTGTGCAACCATTGCCTCTGATTCCAGGATGTTTTCATTAACCCCCAAAGAAACACATCCTCATTAGTAGTGACACCTTATTCCTTCTCCTCATGTCTTTCCCTGGCAACCACTGATCTTTCTGTCTCCATGGGTTTGCCTATTGTGGACATTTCATGTAAATAAAATGCACCATGCGGCCTTTTGTGCCCAGCTTTCACTAGCATGTGATGTATTCCAGATTCATCCAGGTTTTAGGGTGTCAGCACTTCCTTCCTTTTTGTAGCTGAATAATATTTGATTCCATTGTTTGGATGCACCACATTTTGTATATCCATTCATGAGGTGATGGATTTTGGGTTGTTTCTACCTTTGGCTATTGTGAATAATGTGGTGAGTAACATTGCTTTGAACTTTTGTGTTCAATTGGAAATAGGTGTTTTCATTTCTCTTGAGTGTATAGCTAGGAATAGAATCTCTGGCTCACTTGGCATAACATTTTGAGGAGCTGCCAAACTTTTTCACAGTGATTACACCATTTTACATTCCTACCAGCCACGTATGAGGTTCCAATTTCTCCACCTCCTCACCAGCACTATTTAACTTTTTGCTTATAGCCATCTTAGTGAGTGTGATGGGGGGAGTCTCACTGTGGTGTTTTATTTACTTATTTATTTTTGGCTGTGCTGGGTGTTCGTTGCTGCTTGGGCTCTTCGCTAGTTGCAGCGCGCAGGCTTCTTACTGCAGTGGCTTCCGTTGTGCAGCATGGGCTCAAGTGTTCTCGGACTTTAGTAGTTGTAGCGCGTGGACTTAGCAGTTGCAGCTCCTGGGCTCTAGAGCACAGGCTCAGTAGTTGTGGCACACAGGCTTACCTGCTCCAAGGTATGTGGCATCTTCCCATACCAGGGATCGAACCCTTGTCTCCTGCATTGGCAGGCAGACTCTTTACCACTGAGCCACCCGGGAAGCCTGGTGGTTTTGATTTCCATCTCCAGTGGCTGAAGATGTTGAGAATCTTTTCATGTGCTTCTGAGCTTTTTGTGCATCTTCTTTGGAGAAACGTCATTTCACATCCTTTGCCCTTCCTTAATGGGTTATTTGTCTCTGAGTGTCTTTTTGGTGATCCGTGTGTTTATCTAGGTAAAACATCTTCTTCCCTGTTGTACCCCTCAGGCCTGGGGCATCCTGCCTCTGTTGCAGGTGACAGGTGAGGCCCCGAGAGGCTCAGTGCCTCTGAGGACACCCTGCTTCTGGGCACAGGTGCCCTCTGGAGGTGGACATGCCTAGTTTTCTTCCTGGCCCTGTGCCCATGGGAAGAGGAATAAGGGCAGGCCCCTTATTCCAAGGAGCTCTGTTTTCTCATCTGTGATGTGGAGTTGGGTAGTGACCATCTCCCAGGGCTCCTCAGAGCACGTGGGTCACTGGCCCTTTGCAGTGTCAAGAACTGACTAAGCGTGGAAGAGGCAGGTAGCCAGTCAGCCAGCCTTGAAAGCCAGGACCACAGCTGCCGTGCTGGCTTCCAGTCTGGGCCTCCACCCACCTCACCTACTGCTTCCAGACGGGAGGCCCCCACAGCCTGTAGTTCTGTCCTGTTGGCCCCTGGCGTTGACCTAACTGGGCCCAGGGTCCTCCAAGGCTCCCACATTGCAGGCCTGGCCCGGGCTCTTTGGCTCCCCTGGTTCACCTGTCCTTCTGCAGGTGCCTGGCCCAGGATCCTCTCTGACTCCCCATTTCCTGCCCTTCTCCCTCCCCCCACCCCAGCCCACCTGTCTCACCCTTCTCCCTTGTTCTTTCAGACAAAATGGAAGCCCCACTAGGCTACATGGATGAGAAGGAGGTGGGGGTGCAGAAGCCAAAGAAGCCCCCAGAAATCCAGGTAGGGAAGATGCCGGTGTCTGGGCCCCTGTGGATGTGGGGTGGGGGCTGGGTCCAGGGACCCTCTCAGGCTTTGCCCTGGCAGCTGTAAGCTGGGCCTCCTGGCTCTGAGTTTGAGCCCCCAGGACTGGAGCATAGTTGAGAGCAAGCACTGGGAACCAGAGAGTGGGTTCTAAGCCCAGGGTCCCTTCCCTGGCTCCTATGGAGGCCCAGGCCCTGTAGCTCCCGCATCTCTCCTCCCTAGGCCCTGCCAACTGCCCTGGACAGAGTGGAGGGAGAGGACAAGCAGGAGAGCTCCAATGGCAAAGAGAGGGCCCGAGAGGAGCGGCTGGAGGAGATGGAGAAGGCCGAGCCCTCCCCGGAGCAGGGGCCGAAAGGTGCGGGCTTGCACCCTGATGGGGCGCCAGGCCTGTCTCTCCCGGGCTGGGTGGGGGGCCGTGCACTGCTATGTCCTAGTGGTGTAGGGCCCAGGATGAGGCGAGGGCCAGGGGCTCAGTTCTCTGCATGTGGGCTTTAACTTTTCCTGCTGTACAGTTTGGGGATTATTGGGCTACATCTTATTAGTGGTTTCTTTCTTTTTTTTGAAAAGCATAAATATTTTTTTGGCTACATCAGGTCTTAGTTGCAACTTGTGGGATCTTTAGTTGAGGCATGCGAGTTCTTAGTTCCGGTATGTGGGATCTAGTTCCCTGACCAGGGATTGAACCTAGGGCCCCTGCATTGGGAGCATGGAATCTTAGCTACTGGATCACCAGGGCAATCCCTATTAGTGAGTTCTGAATCAATTGCATTGTGATCTGAACACATGAGTCTGTATGATATTGCTGAAACCTGCTTTTCTTGCTTTATGTGGTCAGATTTTGTAAAAGCTCATGTGTGCTTGGAAAGAATATCTATTCTTTTATTGCTGGATGTAAGGTTCTAAATATGTGCATTAGATCAGGGGTCCCCAAACTCCAGGATCTAATGCCTCATGATCTGAAATGGAGTCTATATAATAATAACGGAAATAAAGTGAACAGTAAATGTAATGCTCTTGAATCATCCCCCTGGGTCCATGGGAAAACTTGTCTTCCATGAAACTTGTCCCTGGTGCCAAAAAGACTGGGGACTGCTGCATTAGATCATTATATTGTTCAGATTTTTTATACCCTTACTCATTTTTGGTTTGCTTTGATCAGTCAAATCTGAGAGACTTATGTTAAAATCTCTGTGATTGTGGGTTAGTCTCTGTTCTCCTAAGGCCAGATTTTGCTTTTGTTTGGGATTGGGTTGTTAGGTGCATATTGGTTCAGGTTTTTTCTAATTTTCTGGTGAAGTGTTTATTTACTATGTAATAACCTTCTTATTTCTCCTGATTCTTTTTGCTTTAAGGTTTATTTAGGCTTATGTGGATTGAGCTTACTTTTGGGCTTTCCTAGTGGCTTAGATGGTAAAGGGTCTGTCTGCCATGCAGGAGACCCAGGTTTGATCCCTGGGTTGGGAAAAATCCCCCCAGAGAAGGGAATGGCTACTCACTCCAGTATTCTTGCCTGGAGAATCCAATGGACAGAGGAGCCTGGTGGGCTACTAGTCGGACATGATTGAGCAACTAACACTTTTGTTTTCTTTCACTGAGCATTCACTTGAGTTTTCAAGGTTCTTCTGTGTTGTAGCATGTATTGGAACTTCATTCCTTTTTGTTGAATATATTCTACCCTGTGGATACATCACAGTTTATTTTTTCATTCATCAGGTGATGGGTGTTGGGGTTATTTCTGCTTTTTGGCTATTATGAATAATGCTGCTGTGAACATTCATGTATAGGTATTTGTGTGGATAGGCTTCAGTTCTCTTGGGTATATACCTAGGAGTGGAATTGTTGGATCGGTTGGTAACTCTCATATTTGGAGGACCTGCCAGATTGCTTGCTGCAGTGGCTGCACCACTTCACATTCGCACCTGCAGTGCATAGGGTTCCAATTTCCCCATTATCTTTGTCAACCCTTGTTATTATCTCTCTTTTGGATTTTAGCCATCCTAGTGGGTGAAAAGTCATAGCTCAAGTGGTTTTGATTTGTATTTCCCTTGTGTTTAAAGATGTTGAATATCTTTTCAAATGTCATTGGCCATTTGTATATCTTTATTGGAGAAATGTCTTTTCAGGTCCCTTGTCCATTTTTCAATTGGGTTATTTATCTTTTTATTATTGAGTTATAAGGGTTCTTTATAATACATGTTCCATACCAAGTACATGATTTGCAGGTATTTTCTTACATTTCTTAACTTTTATTTGTATAATTGAGTTTTAGGTATACCTTTTGTAAATAATATATGGTGGGACTTGTTGTTTTAAATCTCATCATAGAATCTCTACCTTTTAGCTGGCAAGTTTACTCTCTTTACATTTATTGTAATAGCTAGGTATCTGAATGAATTTCTGTTCTTATTTTGTGCTTTATATCACCCTTGCCTTTTCTTCTTTTTTTCTCCTAGCATCTTTTGGACTGATCAGAATTTCTTTCTGTTTCCTTCTTTACTCTCAACTCCTTTGGAAAGTTTGCTGTCAATTCTATTTTGTACTCTTAAATTTTTAACCTGTTGCCTCTTGAATATAATAAGTACTACAGGCAACTTTAGCTCTGACCCACTCCCTCTTATCTCCCAAGTGCTGTTGCTTATTTCTAAACTATAATCCTTATTTAGATCTTCCCACCCTCTTAACAATTTTGTGTTTTCTAGTTTGTTCATTGTTGCTTTGTTCAATGTCCTTCTTCCCAAAATATACCCTTCAATGGTGCTTTCAACAAATTTCTGTGGACAGCAAATTTCTCTCATTGTATGTTATTTTGCCTTTATACGTTATCGTATTTTTCTTGAATAATAGCAAAATTCAAGGTGGGTTAGGAGTTTTCCCTCAGCACTTTGAAGATGTTATTTCTTTTGTATTCTGACTTCCGTTGTGCTGAGAAGGCTGCTGTCAGGGTAATTGCTGCTCCTTTGTAGGAAACTTGCTTTTCCTATCTTTACTAACATGGTAAGACCATTTTAAAGACTTTCTGTTAGTCTTTGGTCTTGTACAGTTTCACTACAATGAAATTTTTATTTATCCTGCTTGTGACTGGCTGTGATTCTTAAAGTTGAGTATGTGTCTTCTATTGATTATGGGCAAATTCTCGGTCATCCCCTCCTTTAATGTTATCTTTCTCCCACTATGTTTATTTTCTTTTGGAATTCCTTTTACTCATTTATTCATTCATTCATCCAACAAATATGTTTTGAGCACCCACTGTGTGTTGGGAGCTGTCCCAGGCGTTGGGGACACAGACAGGGAACCAAAGCCAAAGTCTTCACATAGAATTTGTGTTCTACTGGGGGACCCCGGTGATTAACAATAGACACAAGTAGATCTTGTTTAACAAAAGGCTTCAGATTCAACAAAGAAAACAAAGCAGAAAAAAAAAACAAAACAAAGCAGGTACAAGATTTGTTTCTCTGCAAGGCTTTTTGAATCACCCTCAGATCTAGCTTTAGTTCTTACTTTCTTCATACACCTGTTTTTAACCTATTGGTACTATTTTCTATGGTTGCGCAGTGAATTATTACAAATTTAGCAGCATAAAATGACACCCATCTGTTAGCTCATGGTTGCATGGGTCGGAAGTCTGTGGTGGTGTGACTGGATTCTCTGCCAAGGGACTTGCAAGATTGAAGTCAAGGCATTGATTGTACTGAGTTCTCCTCTGGAGACTTGGAGGAAAATCTGTTTCCGTGGTCATTCTCGTTGGCTAACTTCAGCTCCTTGGGGTTGGAGGACTGAAGCCCTCTTCCCTTGCTGGCTCTCAGCGGGAGGCCGTTCTCGGCATCTAGAAGCTGCCTACGTTTCTTGCCACGGGGCTCATTCCATCTTCAAGCCAACAGTGGTACACCAATCCCCACCATACTTCAGATCTCTGATGTCCTTTTCTGTGACCATTCAGAGAAAACCCTGCTTTTAAGGGGCTGGTGTGATGAGGTCATGCCCACCTGGATAATCTCTGTCTTTTAAGGTCACCTGTGCCTTGTCACATGACTTGCACAGGAGAGTAGAATCCATCACATTCACAATTCCAAGGATTATGTACAAGGCTTGTACTCCAGGGCCAGGAAGTCTGGGAGGACACCTTAAAAATATGCAGTAGGGACTTCCCCTGTGGTTCAGTGGTTAAGCCCCTGTGCTCCTAAAGCCAGGGTCACGGGTTCAGTTCCTGGTTGGGGAACTATTAATAGATCCCACATACTGCACTAAAACCTTGCACAGCCAAATAAATAAACTTTAAAAAAAATATGCAGTAAAATGTCCAACATGTTAGTGATTATGTATTTCATTTCTAGAATTTTTAATCTAGCTTTTTCTATTTCCTTTTCTTTTGACTTGTCTTTTCCTATGGATTCTCTTCCTTCTCTGTCTGGCTGATGGATATTTTCTTTTTTTTAAAAACAATTCTTATTTATTTATTTATTTATTGATTGCACGGGGTCTTCGTTGCTGCACGTGGGCTTTCTGTAGTTGTAGCAAGTGGGGGCTACTCTTCATTGTGGTGTGTGGGTTTCCCATTGAAGTGGCTTCCCTTGATGCAGTGTACAGACTCTAGGGCTTGAAGGCTCTAGGAGTTGTGGCTTGTGGGCTCCAGAACATGGGCTCAGTAGTTGTGGCCCATGGGCTTTAGCTATTGTGCAGCATGTGGATTCTTCCCAGACCAACCTGTGACTCCTGCATTGCCAGGTGGATTCTTATCCACTCTACCACCAGGGAAGTCTGGGTGTTGTTTCCTGAGTTTCATTTGGGTGCATCTTCATCAGGGATTGTTTTATCCTTGAGAATCCATGTCACTTGGGTAGCAGGAATGCCCCCTGTTCTGTCTCCAGAACTCCGGGGCCTCGTGGTCTGACTAGTGGCCTGGCTGGTCTGGGACCAGTCTTATGGCACAATTCAGATTTCACAGCCTGCACACCTGTGTGTTGGGTTTGGCTCCTCACTGGAGACTTTTTGACCCTGGATTCCACATGGGAGCCAGGCTTCCACAACTTGGCCATGAGCTGGTAGATGGCACTTTTTCTCCTTTGCCAGAGGCATATTAGTTGAAGAGTGTTAGATTCTTGATTTAATTCCAGTTCACTGCATCTTTGTGGCCTCACCCTTCCTGTTCAATGTTGAGACACAGCTGGAGTCCCGCAAGCCTCTTTCTGGTGTCCACTCACCCCCAACCCAGGACCCCAGTGCATGCTTCTTGAGCTTTTAGTTTCCCTTCATTTATAGAAAGTGAAAGTGAAAGTGTTAGTTGCTCAGTTGTGTCTGACTCTCTGTGACCCTATGGAATGTAGCCCACCAGGCTCCTCTGTCCATGGAATTCTCTAGGCAAGAATACTGGAGTGGGTTGCTATTTTCTCCTCCAGGGGATCTTTCCAACCCAGGGATTGAACCCGGGTCTCCTGCATCGCAGGTGGATTCTTTACCTTCTGAGCCACCAGGGAAGTTCCGTCTTCATTTATGGCACCTGATAATTTTCTTTAGTTTTGTGAGCACACTTATGTGTGTTTTTTTTTTTTTTTAAATGTGATAGGTTTTGCCTGACATTTCTGGGTGTCTGTAAGAGGGGCTTTGTGTTGATGAAGGCCTGACGTGTTGCCAGAACTTTGAGTCCTCTGGTTGTTACTACAGTAGAGAGGATCTGGGGACTGTGCCTTGAGAGAAGTTTGGGAGAGGCTGCTGCTGAGATGGGTGGGTGGAATGAGGCCCCATCCCCACCTGCCTTCCCAGTGGATCCTCCCAGATGCTACCTGTTGGACTCCTGAGTAATATGCTAGAGTGGATTCCATGAGTGGCTACAATACTGTTGGGAAGCCACCAGCCGGGAGTTCCCTCTGCCCTCTGGACACCTCCCTGCTCTCTGAACACCGTTTATCTTGCAGAAGAAGTGCTTCCTGAGAAGGAGAAGGTTCTGGACAAGCTGGAACTGAGCTTGATTCACAGCAGAGGTGACAGCAGCGACTTCAGGCCAGGTCTGGGGCTCTGGACTTTGCCCTGTCGCATGTCCCCCTTGGTCTCTTGAAGGAGCCACGAGGAGCCTCCTGAGCCTTCCCTCGACCCAAGGCCCAAGCTGCTGGATGGGAGCCTGGACTTGCCAGCCCTCAGGGAACAGACCCTCCACCTATCTCCTGACCCCTCCTGTGGTCCCGGCCACTACTAGGAGGAAGGAGAGCTGGTCACAGAGTTTGGCCTGGAGCTTTGGGGTTCAGCTGGCAGCCTGTGTCCTTCTAAGTGTTGGAATGTTCTGTAACAGTTGCCCCCAGATCAGAACCCCGAGGCAGCATTGCTGTCCTTCAACATAAGCTACATTTTTACAGTCCTCCCTGCCCTGCCCCATTTCCCCAGGTGGTCCTGACTTGGTGGTGGAGGGGTACCCAGGCCCAGAGCAGCCCTCCCTGCTCAGGATAGAGAGAGAGGCCTGATGATTAAAACTCTTGGGGGCAGTGAGTCCCTTGTGGGTGGGGAGGTGTGTTTCCCGCTTGCCTCTGGGTCCCCAGTGCTTGCTGGCGAGCCCTCCTCCGGGCACTGTCTTTGGGGTGGACGAGTGAGCCTGGGTCTGTCCTCCCCCAGATGACACCAAAGCCGAGGAGAAGGAGCCTACTGAGACCCAGCAAAATGGTGACAAAGAGGAAGATGAAGAGGGGAAGAAGGAGGACAAGATCGGGAAGTTCAAATTTATGTTCAACATTGCAGATGGGGGCTTCACAGGTATCGGGGGTGGGGCCGTGGGCAGAGAGAGCTACAGGCTTCCTGACCGTGGGTCCCAGGAGTCTGGGTGGATGGTTATTTTATACTAACGAGTGAATGGTTGACAAAGTCCATGGTATAACCTTTCCTTGTAGCACTGGAGTACTGAAGTGCTTGGGGTGGGGAGGTGGGGGTGGTGAGGGAGAGGCTTACCCAGGCCCACCCTTATGCGGGATGGGGGCACCTCATCCTGCTTCCCTTGGCTGGCTTCCCAGAGCTGCACACACTGTGGCAGAACGAGGAGCGTGCTGCTGTGTCCTCGGGGAAGATCTACGACATCTGGCACCGGCGCCATGACTACTGGCTGCTGGCGGGCATTGTCACGTATCCTTGGCCACACCAGCGGGGCAGGGCTCCTGTCTCTCCCTCTGTGGGCCTCAGGGAGGGGTGTGGGGCTGGTGTGGGGTGGAGTCTGGGCTGGTGCTCCTGACCAGGTACCAAGGACGCTTTCCTGGTGGTGGTGCTGATGACAGTGACTGTGATCATAAAGGTAGCTTGTCCCTTTATACTCAGCACCCACTCCATATCCTCACAACAGCCTTCCCAAACGGTTGCTACTATGATCCCCATTATGTGGAGGAAGCAATGGGTGCTCAGAGAGGCCAAGTGACTTGCTCGGGGACACACAGCCCTTCCATCTGACTCTACAATGAATGCTCCTAATTCCTACCTGATCCAGACCTCACCTCCTCTCAGTGATGACACCTGAAGGGTGCTTCACCATTTAGGAGGGCTTTCATTCATTTGTTCATTCTTCAATTCCATCTTTACTGATGATCTACCATGTGCCAAGCATGGAGTATGCAGCCATGAATGAAACAGCCCCAAATCTCTGTCTAGCCAGAGCTCATATCCAACTAGGGGTAGATGGTGAAAAACATAAATTAGCAAAGTGTGGGGCTCAGTAAACATGGAAGGGGGGATGAGGCAAAGGGAGCTTTGGGGGTGGGGGTTGTGTTTAATGTGGGAAGATCAGAGAAGGTGATATTTGAGTGCAGACCTTCCAGAGACAAGAGAGGGGCACACCACTACCTGGGGAGAGTCCCCCAGCAAAGCTGGCCTTGCTGACAGTCTTGAGTGAGACTAGTCCTTATAATGAGAGGTGGGAAGTTGTAGGTCAGGAGTCATCAGATCTTTCCTGGGAGGGACCCAGGAGTGGATGTTTTGAACCTCGCAGAGGACTCCTCCACTCTGCCAGGGTAGCAAAAGTAACCATAATACATAACCAACAAGCATGGCCATGTTCTGATAAAACTTAATTTACAAAACCAGGCTGTGGGCTGAATTTGGCTTGTAGGCCACAGTTTACTGAGGTTACGTTGCTTGGAGCTGGAACTTGCCTGGTGGTTCAGTGACTTAAGATTCTGTGCTCCCAGTTCAGGGGATGGGGGTTCAATCCCTGGTCAGGGAACCAGATCCCACATGCTGCAACCAAGACCCAGTGCAGCTAAATAAATAAATAACACACACAGAGTTAAAAAAACAAAAATAAGATGCTTGGAGCCAGCTTGTCTGGGTTCAGATCCCGACTCGGCCCCTCTCTAACTGTGGGCCCTTGGCAAGAAAACCTCTTGGTGTTTCTTTGTTCCCTCTGGCTCCAGGGGAGGCCCCTTCCTTGCCTGTCCCCGGCTCCTTGGTGCTCCTTGGCTCACAGCTGCATCATTCATCTCTGACTCTGTTGTCACAGGGCCTTCTTTCCTGGGTATCTCTTTGTCTGTGTCCAAATTTCCTCCTCTTATGAGGACCTCAGTCACTGGATTGGTGCCCACTCCACCCCAGGATGACCCTTTCTTAATTTAATCAATTGATTTGATTAATCTGCAAATGCCCTATTTCCAGCTAGGGTCACAGCACAGGTGCTGGGGGTTAGGACTCGGCTGTCTCCACCCTCTGGATCTGAGGGATGAAGAAGTTCATCCGGTGAAGCCTCAGGCCCTGTCTGGACCCCTGGGGGCCGCTATTGGAATCCGCTGATTGTCAAGTCACTGTTACCCACACGATCCTCTTGCAGCCAAGGTTAATGCCTGTCTGGAAAGTGGAGAGCAAGATGCCAAACCCTGGGCTGGTCCCCCACCATCCCCTCCCTCCACCCCATGGCTAGGTTTGCCCTTAACGGCCCCCACCTAGGCACGGCTACGCCCGCTGGCAGGACATCCAGAATGACCCGAGATACATGATCCTCAACGAGCCCTTCAAGTCTGAGATCCACAAGGGTAACTACCTGGAGATGAAGAACAAGTTCCTGGCCCGCAGGTTCAAGGTCAGTCCTTGGCAGGGGCCAGAGGTTGAGGGTGAGGGGGCCGCAAGAGGGTGGGTTATGGGAGAGCCTGGGGCAAAGAAACGAGGAAGCATTTCTTATACCCTGCCCGCATATCCGGGTGTGGGCCAGACCGTATATCCCTCCATGAAAGGGAATCACTGAGTCAGTCAACCAACAGGTCCAGACCCCGCTGGGCGAGTGTCCCTGCTCTGGGTAATGGGTGCCGAGGATCCAGCTTGGGGAGGGCTCTGAGGGGTGGCCAAGAGGGTAGACAACAACTGGGTGGGGAGGGGCTGTCTTCCTTCCTTTCTTTCAGAGCCCTGGCTGGTGGGAGTGGGTGCTGGTGGGGAGGCAGTCAGGCCAGCACTCAGTCCCTCCCCTTACCCTGACCCCCTCCCCCTGCCCCCACCAGTTGCTGGAGCAGGCGCTGGTCATTGAGGAGCAGCTCCGGAGGGCCGCATACCTCAACATGACCCAGGATCCCAACCATCCCGCCATGGCCCTCAACGCCCGCCTGGCCGAGGTGGAGTGCCTTGCTGAGAGCCACCAGCACCTGTCCAAGGAGTCCCTCGCCGGGAACAAGCCTGCCAATGCTGTCCTGCACAAGGGTGAGTGAGCCCGTCCCCTGGAGATGGGCCCACACCTCGCTTCCCCGCAGTGGCTCCTTGGCAGTAGGTGGGGGCATGGGGCTGGGGAGAGGACATCAGCCCAGAGGGCACAGCCTCGAAGCCAGATGGGACAGACTGTCACCCAGCCTCTGCTCTTACCTGTGGGGAAAGTGAGGCCCTTGCTTTTCTGGCCTTTTTCTGAAGGTCAGTGCCGTGTAGGCTCTGGGTAGGGGGGTAGGTGATATAGCAGAATATTAAGTTGTACAGACTTGTTTATTGAGCCCTGACAATATGCTTTATTTCTATTTTTTAACTTCTTTTAGTGAAAGAGATAAGGACCCTTTAAAACTTTTTAGTTTTTATTGACATGTAATTGATTTATAATGTTGTGTTACTTTCTGCTGTATAGCAAAGTGAATCAGTTATACATACAGACCCAACTCGTGGAAAAGACCCCGATGCTGGGAAAGATTGAGCGCAGAAGGTGAAGGGGCGACAGAGGATGAGATGGTTAGATGGCATCACCAACTCAACGAACATGAGTCTGAGCAAACTCTGGGAGATAGTGAAGGACAAGGGAGCCTGAGCATGCTGTAGTCCACGAGGTCACAAAGAGTCAGACACAACTGAACGACTGAACAACTCTTTTTTAGATTCTTTTCCTATATAGGTCTTTACAGAGTATTGAGCAGAGTTCCCTGTGCTGTATAGTAGGTCCTTATTGGTTATCTATTTTATTTTTTTTGAATATTTATTTGGCCAAGTCAGGTCTTAGTTGCGGCGTGCGGGATCTTTGTTATGGACTCGAGCTGTGGTGTGTGGTCTCAGAGTTGTGGTGGGAAAGCTTAGTTGCTCCGTGGCATGTGGGATCTTAGTTACCCGATCAAGGATTGAACCCACATCCCTTGCCTTGCAAGGTGGATTCTTAACCACTGGACCACCAGGGAAATCCTTATTTTATATATATAGTACTGATATATGTCAATCCCAGTCTCCCAATTTATGGCACTATCTTTAAACACATTGTCCCTTTACTCTTTGTAATATTTTTAAGTGGTGAGGTTTCTTAACTTATTTTAAAGTTGGGGACATTGATGCTTAGGGAGGTGAAGTAATTGCCCAAGGTCTCCTGGGATTCAGACCTTTGACCCTCGTCGTCCTAATTCTGAGAAAGTGCCCAGGCTGGTTAGGGGGAGGGTGAGCCAAGCTCACCCCGAGAGCCCTGGACTCCGTGGCCCTGGCTGTTTGGGAGAAGTTTCTCGAGGCGGCTCTGCTCCTGGGCGTGGCCAGGGCTGCAGACCTCCCTGGGCGCCAGGAGGCTGGCCGAGGGTCCGGAGGGAAGCCCAGTGTTGGGTCAGAACTCCCGGCTGTCATCTCTGCAGCCCGTGGAGCCTGAGAGAAGCTGTTTGGAAAACCGGACTCTTGTCCAGCGGGCAGGTCTCTGACGTGTTGGCTGGGAGGGCTGAGTGGGGAGGCGCCCCCTGGCGTCCGCTGCGCGGCGTGCAAGTCACAAGGTAACACAACCTTGTTACTAAGCACCGGCCTGGGCGTCCGCGTCCCAGCTTCTCCCCCTCCCTGCCTCCCTCCCCAGTCCTGAACCAGCTGGAGGAGCTGCTGAGCGACATGAAGGCGGACGTGACGCGTCTCCCCTCCATGCTGTCCCGCATCCCCCCGGTGGCTGCCCGCCTCCAGATGTCGGAGCGCAGCATCCTGAGCCGCCTGACCAACCGAGCCGGCGACCCCACCATCCAACAGGTCAGGCTCGGCTCGCGCCCTGGGCCCCAGCCCCCCACGCACGCACGTCCTGGGCGCCCTGGGGCGGGGCTCGGGCCGGTGCGGGACTTGGACCTTTAAACCTGAGTCCTTGCCTCCAGGGCGCTTTCGGCTCCTCCCAGATGTACAACAACAACTTTGGGCCCAACTTCCGGGGCCCTGGACCGGGAGGGATTGTCAACTACAACCAGATGCCCCTGGGGCCCTATGTGACCGGTAGGTGCCCGTCTGCTCCCCGGCGGCATGTGCAGGGGCGCCCGCGGGCCCCGCCCGCGTCCGCCGCCCCAGCGAGCCGAGCTTCCCTCTCTCTGCACAGATATCTAGCCGGCCCCGAGACCTCGCTCTGGTGCAGCGCTCCTTTCCAGCGGAGGTGAGGCCTCTCCAGGGGCTCCGTGGTCCCTCTCCCCTCCATGGCTGCACCAGTCAGTCCCCGCTCCCTGCTCGTATCCACAGTCCTGAGTCTGGGAGTCTCCGCTGCCTCTTGGGGCCCAGTGGGTCTTGCCCTTACCCGCTGGGGACCATCTTTCGGCTAGCGTGTCTTCCCAGGCTTCCAGACACTCCCCTGGGAGGCTGGGAGGTGGGACATGGGCAGGTACACGTGGGGATGCTCCATTGTGTACATGGGTGTGTCTGTGTGCACATATGCAGGGTGCGTGCATGTCCGTGGTAGTGAGTCAGGGACCATTGCCCCCAGCCTGGAACCCTTTTCTGCCTGCACTTTCCTGCTGGGTGGTGGGCACCCTGGGACATCACCCCCCTTCCCTGGCCACCCCACCTTGTGCCCAGGACCAGGAGGGTGGCTCAGGGTGTGTGTGGGTCAGTGTCACTGGCTGGGAGATGGTTTTATTCATGAGAAGCCACCAGTCCACTCTGGCCTCCTCCACCTGGCCGGCAGCCCCTGCTAAGTTGTCTGTCCTGGTAGAACCACTGCTTCAGGGTAGAGGCCCTGGGGTGGGGGTGATTTCCAGATGGGCCCTCCCTACGGTCCCCACTTCCTATACTCCAGGTGTGGGAGGTCTGGGCTAGGAGCCCCACTGGTCGCAGTTGGCTGTGACAGGTGGCAGTGGTGGTCCTGGGTGTTGGGTGAACCCCCAATGGGGATGTGAGCACCCAGCTCTGTGACCCATGACCTACTTCTTGCAGCCACGCCTGCCAGGCCCCCTGCCTGACCCCCACAGGAGAGAAAAGCTGCCGCCTTTCTAGAGCTAGGCCACCCGAGGACAGAAGGGGTAACTGAGTCATGCCATCGCTGGGGACAAGACCCAGCCAGAAGTGCCACCTGCTCTTAATTCCAGTGTCCCCCATACCACCTTGGCCAGCTCTGCCAGGACGACTTCCTAGAAGAGATTTCATTTCTTTGTACATCTTTTTGCACTTTCCTATTGAAGACTTGAACAAATTTGTCCTGATAAAAGTTGAGTGACGTGTGGAGGAGTCTGACCTGCAGCACTTAGGCCTCTCTCTGTGGACGGGCTCCTGACCGGAGGGAAGCCCTGGACTTGGCACGGTTGAGGAGGACGCGGCGCCTGCCCTGGACGCGCTCTGTGTGCCCCTCCCCCCGTCCCGTCTGCACCGTGTGACTGCTTGTATTCTGACCCTGGCCCACCGGGGCCCCCCAGTGCCAGGTGGGTCAGAACTGGGGAGCCACCCGGCCTGCAGGTAGAGACCTGGCTGGCGTCCAGGCCAGGCCAGGCTGCATCCTGCAAGGCTGGAGGCCACAGGTAATGTGTTCTCTCTGTGGGGGAGAGGGCTCCGTCGGCACGTGTCTGCCCCTGGCCAGTCTGTCTCGCAGGCCCCCTGGATTCTGTCGTCACCCGTGGAGGGTCTGCAGCCCCCTCCTTGCGTGGCAGGTCATGGCATGTGCTCCCCGGAGAGAAGAGACGGCAGGTGTCAGCCTGGGGGCTGCTGGGGCCTTGGTCTCTGGCCACTGCGGGAAGGGGCTTACCCTCCCTCTCCGGGTGTGGCTGCTGTCCCAGCAGCGCTGAGCGTGGCCCCGGAGCCCCTGGTCCTGCCCTGTGCCCTGGGAGACCCTTCACACCCATTCCCCATGTCGTCTTCTGGTGGCCGACACTGAGAAACCAGGCCAGCCGCCTCAAGCCTGGACTTATCCCTCCCCTGTCCCTGGAGAGGCCTCGATCCCGGCACTTGCCATCTGGGGCAGGCCTGTGACAGCCCTCACTGTGTTCTTCAAAATTTGGGGAAAGCTTGGAGGCAGGGGACTGGACCCATTGGCCTCTCCAGTCTTCCCAACTGGAGTGTCCCCAGCCTCCTGCCCTGTTTCCTGCCAGGAGCGGCCTGTTGGAATTCTGATCGCCTTCCACCCAGCTGGTGGTGCCCTCTGACTGCTCCAGTTCAGAGGAACGGAGGGATGGGCCAGGACCTGGGTCCGTCCGTGTCTGATGTTCCCTCTGGCCCAGCCTCAGCCTGGAAGGGATTTCTGAGCCTTGACCAGGGAGCCTTGACCTTCCTGGAGTGGAACCCTGGTGCAGAATCCTGTCCAAGTGAAAGACAGGGTGGGCCTGGGGGGTGGGGCACCATGGGAGGGCTCCGTTCAGCTTCCTGGCCAGGACTAGGGCCAGGATTTGGGGGTGTCTTGGGGACACGGGGCCATTGGCCAGCCCTCCCAGAGCCCTCATCTATAAACGGCTCTCCCCGGACCCCTAGAGGACTGGACCCCAAGGCCCTGTCTATCTCCAGGCTGACTGACCCCGGCATTGTGGGTGGAGGAATGGGAGGCAGCCTGAAAGTGGTACACGGGTGTACGTGTGGCAGGACACATGTGGCAGCAGCTGATCTCGCCCTCCAGGAAGGGTTGGGTCACTCCTGCCCACTGTGGTTTTTCCAGTGCCACGTGGGCCTGTGTGTTCCTTGCAAAGGCTCTGGCTCAGGCCATGGGCCGGGTGACCGCCACGAGCCCCCCACCCAGGGCCCCATGACTGTCCTCCCAGGCAGGCGGTCAGTCCTGCGGCTGGGCTGGTGGGAAACATGGTTGATGGCTCCTGAGTGTCAGGGGGCACCTGGTGGAGGATAGGAGTCTTTGTCCCCACTGCCCAACTCCAAGAGTGGGTAGTCCTTTCCCCACCAGCCCTTGCTTTCCGCCCCTCCTCCGTCTCCTCCCTAGGCCTCTGCCCTTTTCCTTGACCAGCTGGAACCAGGCACCAGTGATCGGCTTAGCCATCTGCACTGCCTGGTCCAGGAAGGGCTCAGCTCTCCAAGACCAGCACCTGGGAGGCCTGGGAGGGGGGCTGTGGACAGCTGGGGAGTGGGTTTCTGGTTTTGGAGAGGAAAAAGGATCTAGAGAATGTTTTTTCTTGGTTTATCAGTTATCTCCCTCCCAGAGTTGTAGTGGAGTGTGGGGAGTGGGGCTTCTGCGCTCTTGGACATCTTCAGGCTGGTTTTGTTTTTGCTGTTGGCACAGTGGAGGTTGTTGTGCAAGCGGAAGCCCCAAAGTGCCAGCCCCATTTTTGCCACTTTATTATTTAGACCAGTGCTGAGTAGGCTTTCTGTTGAACCATCTTTGGGCACAGTCTTGGAGAGCATTGCCTCCTGGGCTCCCCGGTGACCACAGGAGTTTGGGTTGGACTGTGTCTGGAGGGCCCCTCGCACACGCCCACCATGGAAACACAACCTGAGACTCCCCTGTGCACGGAGACCCTCCCTGCAAGCCGCCTTCAGAAGCTCCTTTGTTTTCTGCAAGTGATGACCATGGGCCCATCCTGCTGGTACTCATGACTGGTGCAGGCACCTGCCCTCCTGCTGGCTGGGGGTCCCTTCCCAGGGTCCTTTGGGGGATCCCTGGCCCAGGTGGGGGGCTGACCGACTCTAACCCCATGGACACCTGCAGCCTTTGCTCCCGGTTATTGGGTCCCAGGGATGTTGAGGGCCTGAGGGGTTCGTGTAGAGGGTGGGCTCGGGAACCTCCAGAGTCGGGTGGCAGGAAGGAGCTTGGGTGGGAGGTGGGGGCTGAGGTTTTGGCCTGGCCACACCCAATGTCCCCCCTCTGCACCTGCAGCTGTCCTCTGCTGATGACCCGTCTATTGAGGAAGCCGCCCCCCACCCCAATTTTATATTTCTGGAAGTTTACAGGTTGTGGTGCATCAGCCCAAAGTCATTGGCTTGTGTTTTGGGATTTTTTTTCTTAGTTTTCAGATTTTTTTTAAACAAAGTATTTTTTTAGGTGCGATAACCCAGAAAGGGCCCGTTGGGTGTGTGTGTGTCCTGAACCCCTGATACCGAGGTGGGAATCCGAGCCTCCTATGCTCCTCTGGGCCTGAGCATGAGGGGAGGGTCCCACCTGCACTGCCCCCCTCCCCAGGCATCAGTGTGTGGAGGGGTGAGGGAGCAGAACCCCACCCAGGCCGGCATCTGGCCCTGCTGAGAAGCGCCTGCCCCTTCCCCAGCACAAGCCCAGGCTGGCCAAGGGGCCGGGGCGCTGGGGCGAGTCGGGGGAGGGGTCCCAGCCAGGAGCTGGAGCTGGAGGCTGAGCCCCTGTGCGTGGTGACCTATGCGGTCCTCGGGAGGATGTGTGGGAGGCTTGACAAGGACTGTACCCGACACCGCCCCCTTCACTTTGTACTCTGTGTGTATGTCTTGGTTTTCCGTGTTTTAATAAATCCTCTGGGAAAGGATTGAATCAGAGTGTTCTAGCTTCTCACTGATCTAGGATGGAGGTGGGAAAGGATGTTGGGGGGAGGGGGTGTTGCCTGAAGCTACCTCCCACCTGAGAAGACACGGCCCCATGAGGCTGGGGGGCTTGCTGGGACGGGGGGGGCACCCAAGAAGGGGTGTTCAGGAGGGGTGGTGCCAGCCCCCCCTGCACCCTGAAATCGCATTGCTCGGGAACACTGAGCCCCCAGAGGGGCCTATAGGCCTCCCTGGACCCCGACCTCTCTGTCCGCAGGGGCCTAGCAGCCTGCCACCAATCTGTGGTGGCAAGAGAGACAGTGTTGGTGAGGGGGGCAGGCAGGGCATTCCCACCCCAAATCACCTGGGACAGTCTTGGGTTCTTGGTCCCCATTCTTTGCTTCTCCCCCTAGGGCCCATGTCTCCCAATCTCCCCTTGGCTCCAGGCTCAGGATTCGGTCTGCTGGCCTTTAAAGATACCTCCTCCCACTGCCCTCGACCCAGCCCTGACCCTGAATACCCTGCAAAGGAGAGGAGCAGACCCTGATGGGCTCGGGTTTTATTTTGTCATTCCATAAATACGGCGCTGTGTCTCCACTGAGTGTCACTGGAAGCGCGAGGCATACGGTGTTTGCCTGTGGGGGTGGTGGTGGTGATGCAGTTAGCTGAGGAGCCACAGTCATTAAAAAAAAAGGGGGAGAGAAACAGCACATTATTTACATGGCCAGAGAGAACAGGAGACAGGGCAGACCCCTCCGTTGTTCTTGGGACCTCAGACTTGCTGTAGATTTGGGGTGAAAAATGGTAGGGGCTGCATGTGCCTTAGCAAAGAAGACTGGTCCCGCTCCCACACAGACTGGGCCTTCTTCCCTGGGCGGGGGGAACTCCCAAGGTGGACCCCTGGGGGCAAACTCTGCTTCCAGGAGAGGGTGAGAGGCTGGCTGGCAGGTGGCTGAGGACTGCAGGGGGGCTTCTCCTTAACAGGGTAGGGTAAGGATAGCTGGCCTCAAACCCATGCCGAAGCTCAGGCTTCCCCTCCAGGGCCTGCCTTGGCCAAGCTCTTCATCTCCAGGCTCTCCCTGCCCTTGAGCCCCACTCCATCCCTTCCCCGCTCCAGCCACCTCCCACTAAGTCTGGGGACTGCTCCTCAGGAAGCTGAGCTTGATCCTTCCACACCTACTTGCAGGGGGTGCAATGCAGAACTAGGCTGCAGACAGCACCCCAGGGTCTGGAACAGGCTTGGGACTTGGTGCTGGGCACCTTGGCCTTGGAAGAGCTTGGCCCTGAGAGCCCACGTCTCCCACTGGGCTTGTCCTTCCCAAATGTAAAGCTTGTGGGGTGGGGGCGGCAGGCCCAAACATGGGCCCAACAGCAAGCCCAGTCCCTCTTCCATTGGTGGGTGGACACGGTGGCAGCGCTGTGGAGGGGGCCCAGCCAGACTCTCCAGGGAGGGCAGGTGACCTGGCTCCTGAGCGTGGCAAGCTGTTGGGACACTTGAGCTCTGCCTGGTGGACTATAGCATCTTGTCCTCGGAGCTAGTCCCCCCACCCATGTGATGGTGGCGACTCTGTTGGGACAGGCTTGTCCCCTCCTCACGCTCATTAGGGTGAAACTTGCAGGAGACTTGGTGAAGAAGACCCCCAGGGGCCTAGTCTACAAGGAGGGAGAAGGTTCTAGACACCAGGGTCAGCACAAAGGTCTGGAGTGGAGGAAGGTGTTCTCCCCCCACCTTGTGGCTTTGCTAAAGTCAGTTTCCTAGGCCTCAGCTCTGCCAGGACTGGACGGCAGGCCTTTGGGAATAATGGCAGGGAGGTCCA